AACGTGAGGTGCGTGGTTTCGATTCGATCGAGGTATCGCGCCAGAATTGCCGCCTCGCCTCGATCGTTGCCCACCACCAGGCCCGCGGCGTTCACACTGGCCACAGCATCGTCGGAACTGGAGAATGACGCCACGTCAGTTACATCACGCACCGACCCGTCGCTGAAGTGGGCCAACACCAACAACTGCTGCGTGTGGGCCGGACGTTTCAGAATGCCGCCCGGGGGATACACTTCGAGCTTGACGCATTCAGGTGCATCCTCGGGATCGACCTTCAGCCCTTCGCCGATCCAGTCGCGGAGTAGCTGATAGCTCAAATCGTCCTTCTTCAAGCGTCGCCCACCACCATGGGCAATTTGCATCACCGGCTTCTGCAGCAACAAGCTCTTCTCTGGCTGCTCGACGTTGGTGCGGCGGTTATAGAACTCACGAATCAGTGTCTCTGTGTCGAGGACTTTGTCGTAAGCCCGCAGGGAAAGCCGAAATCCCCCTTTCCCGCTGGGAGAACCATGGCAAGCCCCGGAATTGCAGTCGTGCTTCGACAGGGCCACCAGTGTTTCGTACTGGAACGAAACGGGATCAGGCTGCTCAAAGCCCGAAACCTCGACTGGAATGTGTGCCTCTTGCTCTCCAATTCGGACCACGATCGTGGCAACGCCATTCCCCGTGGGATAGGCCACCCCCGAATTCACAGTCACCACACTATCGTTGGAAGAAACAAAGTCGGCGGCCCGGGTCAGATCTTGCTGTAGTCCGTCGGCATAGAACCCGGTCACGATGAGATGCATCCGCCGGCGGTTGGTTTGCAGCTTGAACTCGCTGGGATAAACTTCGATTCGCTCAGGCGAGCCAATCACCACAGGCTCGAGGGTTGAGACATCGATCACTGCCTCTTCGGCCGTGACGGTTATCGTCGGCAGTGCACAGACAGCAACCAACAGGACCAACAGCCGCGTTCCAATCCCTTGCACTCGCATGGTTTCTCCCTCGGTCGGCTTCGTAATGAGCGGGGCGTCAGCGGCCCGCAACTCACGGCATATTAATTTGCAGTGTGACCGGACTGGCCACTTCGATCTTTCGTCCCTGAACCGTCGTGGTCGCGATTAGATCGATATCTTTGAACTCGCCCACTGCCGCATCGCTGGCTGCGTTCAAGTCGATCTCCAACTCGGCGGCTTCAGCCGGCACCGTGATTTCGGCAGCGGTAGTAACCCCGGGCGGAAGATTGTCGAACGAAATCTGAACGGGTTGTTTCTCATCACCAAATCGGGTGACCGTGACTTTGGCCTTAACCGTTCCACCGGAGACCAGCGGTCCGGCCGGAGCGAGACCTACTTGCAGAGGTTTTGCCACGCGAAGCACGGTGGTGTGAACAATGCTCTTCGGCTGATCTTGAAAGGTGGCCGAACCGCGAATTCGCAACGGATAATCTCCCTCGGCCACGGCAACCGGACCGGTCAGCGCGATGTCAATTTCGTTCTTACCCTTCTCGATTGGCTTGACTTCCCCCACGGCAAACCCTGGCGGAAGCCCTTCGATGGCTAAGGCCACCGCATCGTCAAAGCCGTTGGTTCGCTCGACTTTCACCTTCAGGTTCGTCGAGCCAACCAGTTGCGGAAACAAGACGGCTCCATCGTTCGCACTCAGCTTGAAGAAATCGGGAAAGACCGGACCTACTCCCACGCCCAACAACTCGGTAAGCGAAGCAGGCGGATATGGTAGCCCAGACAACTCGGTTCGCAGCGGAGCAACCGCTTCGGCCACCGAACTGACGTCCTGCTCGCCGACCTTTGCCGTACCCACGATGCGGACGAGGCGGGGAATCCCCGGATCAAGCGTGGCAGGCACCGTAATACGCATCACGGTTTCGTTCTGTCCTTCGGCGATCACATTCCCGGCAAGCTGCAGCCCTTCGATACCTTCGACGTTCAAGTTGATGGGCCCGTTGTAGTCCCGACGGGCGCTAATGACCTTCATGGTCCAGACACCACCCTTGGGAACATTGAAGCGTTCGGCCTCGACTCGTAGCGAAAAGCCCGGCTGGTAGGGTGTCACATCAACCCGGTATACAAACTCTGGCCCGCCGCGACGGTTGAGGTCCTCAACCATCAGGCGATAGGTTCCGTCTTCTGGGAAGGTGACGTTCAACACGCCTTCTTCCGTACCGGTGTCATCCACCTCGGCGATCTGACCACCATCGGGCTTGTAAACGTGCATGTATAAGTCGGCCGGCGACCCCAGACTTCGGGTTTGCCCCGTAAACACAAGCCGCTGACCTTTGGTGGCGTTGAACGTGTAGTGATCGCGATCAGACTCAGCGCCAAAACGCCCATTGATCGCCCCAGGCACTTGAATGGGTGAAGCCGTCTCCACAGCGTCGTTGGGTTCGAACTCAACGTTCTCCACGGCATTGCTGGCCACGACCACCACTGCCGCCGAGCCTTGACCGTCGGGATAGGCGGCACCCATCGGAGTTGGACCCGGCTGTTTGTCGGCGGCTACCGAAGCGGTGAACCGCGGTTCATTCCACGTGGGACCTACGATCGACAAGGGTGCGGTTGCCCCTCGCTGCAAGCCCAGGGGATAGGCCACCGAGGCCAAAGGGAAGTCACCAATCCGAAGTCGGTAGCGATGATTACCACCACCGCGATAACTAATGTCGCGAATCTCGATCAGGTACTCGCCGGCAGTCTCGAATTGATAGGCCAGGCGACAATCGCCGTTAATACCTCCCACGTCGTCGCTGTAAGCCAGTTCTTCGCCGGTGGCCGTTAGCAGCCGTACCACTGGGTCCAACGGCAATCCTAGACGACGGGCGAACACCTCAACGGAAATCCGCTGACCGGCCGCAGCAGAAAACTTGTAGCAATCGAAGCTCTCTGGTTCGCAGGCCCCTTCGATCGCAACTGGCAATGTGATTGCCTGCGCGGTCTCGAAGGACTTGTTGTTACCCGCCTCCTTTACAGTCGGTAAATCGTCGACCATCACCAGGCGAAGGTTTGAAATCCCCTCGGGGGTTGCCAACCTTAAGCCGTAAACGCCGACGGGCATGTCCGCAGGAACGTTCAACCGATAGCTCACCTTCCCCGCATCCTGACCATTGTTTTCAACCTCAGGCGTCAGTTCGGACGAGGCAGCACAGGGGCACCACAGCCCGCTGGCCCCGACCAGATTGCCTCCGTAGATGGTTACGTCGGTCCCTTGACCAGGATTAACCCCCGCGGGAACCACGGCATTAATCGCAGGTGGGGCGGCTGTTGCGACAAGTCCGACGAATGCAACGCCCACACTGAGCACGGCCAAGAGTGCGATTCGGTTCCATCGTGTCATTGACGGATTTCCTCGAGGTTCAGCGAAGATGATCTTGGAGGTCGTGTTGTAGCGTCAAAGCTGGGCTAGCAGGTGCAGTTCTATTCAACGCAGGCTAGTACCCACGATGCAAGCGGTAGCAATCGACGCTCGTCGCACTGGAACGTATTGCAAGTGGGCGGGACGCCGAAAGCCAGCAGCTTAGCGGCGGGGGCTGGTATGGTTGTGGAGGGTCAACTTCGGGGCGGTCAACGTTGCCCTAAAGCGTAGTCGGGCAAAGACATGTCGTCACCCAACCCCATGATCGTAATGGCAGATGGTGGGGCTTGTCAAAGAATTTCGCTCTGCGGCTGAACCACACCACGAAGCGGCTCGACATGGCCGAAAAGCTAAGGCCGCACCTCAGCCCCCAGCAGTCTCAGGGCGGCCTCGATTTCGTGACGAACTTCTGCGTCTTCTTCGACGGCCCATTGCTGGTCGAGTGCCTTTAAGGCCTGCTCTCCGCCGCACTGCCCCAGAGCCCAGGCACAGGCCCCACGGACTAGCGTCTCGGCGTCTGTGAGCCCCCGAACCAGCGCGGGCACTGCGGTCTCGTCCTTCTGGTTTCCCAGCACAATGGCCGCATTCCGCAGAATTCCCCGACGGCGCGGCCTCCACAATGGGGTACGCCGAAATCGACCACGAAAAGACTCCTCGTCGAGCTCGAACAGATCGGCCAACTCGACAGGGTTCATCCCCTCGCCGGGGAGAAAGGCAGTCTCCGGCGACTCGCTCGCCTTGCGGTTCCAGGGGCAGACGTCCTGACAGATTTCGCAGCCAAGTAGCCAAGAACCAACGCCCTCGCGCAATTCGGTCGGAATCGCCTCGCGAAGCTCAATGGTCAAGTAACTAACGCAACGGCGACTATCCAGCACATACGGCTCGACGAAGGCATCCGTCGGGCAGGCATCAAGACATGCCCGACACGTACCACAGTGGTCGCTGGCCACTTCCGTGTTGTATTGCAACTCAACATCAGTAAGCAGCGCCGCCAAAAAAAACCAACTCCCCAAACGCCGATTCAGCAGAAGCGTGTTCTTGCCGACCCATCCGAGACCCGCGATTTCGGCGAATTCCCGCTCCAAAAGCGGTGCTGTATCGACAACGCCCCTTACCTTGGCCGTGGGCTCGACGCTACGTAAATCGTCGGCCAACGCGTGCAAACGGTCGTGAATCACATCATGATAATCGTCTCCCCAGGCGTAGCGTGACACCTGAGCCTGCCCTGTCCCAGGCTCTTTGCGGGGAAGCGTTCGATAGCTCGTCCCCAACATGACGACGCTTCGTACGCCATCGAGAACGTACTTAGGGTGCTGATAGGCGTCCTTCCGATCGCGAAGGTACCGCATTTGCCCGTCGTGCCCAGAGTCTAACCAGCGATCAAAATGCTCGAGCCGAGGAGGTTCGGCCGCCGCGCAGCAACCCACCAGCTCGAAGCCAAGATCCTCGGCTTTCCCGAAGATTCGCTGCGTTAGCTGCTCAGGAGTCATTGTTCTGGGGACTTCCGTCTATTAGGCGGGCACTGCGAATTACGATCGATTCTATCCCTGCATCTCCCGCTGGCCGAATGGCAGCCTCTTGGCAGGTTCGGTCATCGCAGTTCACAATGCACAAATCAGCGATGAACTGCTAATCCCTCAAAGAGGCCGAAAATGCTTCGACCCTGCGTCCTCCTTTGTGTTCTCACCGTGATATTCGCCCTCCAGCTCTCCGGCTGCGGGCCTCGGCTGTCGGACGCTGAGTTGGGGGAGAAGTTAGACCGGCTTCCCCGCGTTGAGGGCGCGGATGAACCGTACCCCCTTCCGGGCATCGACGAAGCTGCAGAAGCAGCCCGCGGAGGAGAAAAAATGATCCCCACCGGCCCCGCATCCGGCCAGACGGTACCTGTACCCCCAAGATAGAAAAACACCCCTCCAGAGAGCCATTCCACCCGAACGCCAAGAAAATACACCATTTACCCCAGGGCCCCCAAAGCCTTGTGCCAGCAGTTCCTGCAATTAGCCTAGAAACTATGGCCCCGCGGTCCTGCAAAGCAGGCGGGGCGACGTAGCCGTCGTGGGCAAGTTACATGTCGGCCGTATTTCAAGGAACTGTCAGCGAGAGGTTAATCACATGCGAAACTTAATCTTTGTTGCAGCACTGGCAGTTGCTGGCGTCGCCACCGCTCTGCAGTGCAGCGAAGCCCGAGCCGGATGGCCCTACACAGGCTGTTACGGCGGATTCGGCGAATACTCGATCTACAGCACCGAGTCGATCCCCTTCTACTGGCGCTATTCGCCAGTCTATTACAGCATGCCGGTCCCACGGTCGTACGGTTACAGCCCCTACGCCTATCCTCCTGGGGTGCAGACTCCTGAGGTGATCATCGAACCCGAGATGACGATGAATCCGTATGTACCTCGGAATGATTCGTCTGCCGAACCGACCAGCAAGGTCACCTCGCGGGTGAAGCGAATCCAGAATCCCTTCGTCACCACCAGCACGAAGGAAGTTGTGGCCGAGGAAAGCAACGATGATTCCACGGATCAGCTTTCGATGGTGCTAGAAAACTGGAAGAAACTTTCCCCGGAGGCGCGAGCCCAAATTGTCGAACTGCTGAAGTCGGCCGAATAGCCTCAAGCCACTAGCAGCAATCACGCATCGATAGCAATCACGCATCGATAGCACCCACGCCTTGGCGGCCCCAATTCCGCCAAGGCGTTTTTTCTTTTTCGGCCCAAGGGACTGAAATCGATCTGGACACAGTCCGGCGAGTCGCTACTCTACGCACCCTGTCCACGGTTCATGCCGGAGGGCACTCGTCTACTTTGCTTTTCACACAGTCTCTTCAACGTCGACGATTACCGCGTTGCTGCGGTTATCAACCGGTGCATTCACCGTGTTGACGAATTAGGAACACGCACCCTCAGTGGGTGACGTCGAAAGGAGTCGTTCGATGAAACGGCTGACAATCATCGTTGCTGCGGCTGCCCTAACCGGCTGCCAAACGGCTGCGCCGACCACTCCCATGGCCAACCCGTTCATGGGGCGGTCTACGGTTCCGCCTCCGGTCACCGCATCTCCACCCCCGGGGGCGACGCCCTACTACGGCAATGGTCAGTTGCCTCCAGCAGTTTCTGGTAGTGCCCCGCTCACGCCACCGGGTTCGAACTACGGCTATCAGGGCTCTTCCATCGATCGCTCGTCCGACTGGCGAGCCGGTAGCGATGAACTGGCCCATAACCCGAACTCTGAGGCCCCCCGATTCGAGAGCAGCGGTAGCAGTGCAACCCACGAGCCCGAGCGTATCGCTACACGAGACACCTCTAACGACCGCGAAGCCCCTGCCGTAATTCGGGCCAGCGCCGAAGAAGACATCCCCGCAAGCCAGCCAGCACCCTCGAGCGACGATTCGGCCTCAACATCGCGCAGCGTGATTCGAATCGTGGAACCAGCGGAATCCACCGCTTCGACTTCGCGAACCGGCAATGCTTCCCCTGTGCAATCGACGAAATGGGAACAACAAGCTTCGAGAGACAGTGAGCCCGTCGAGCAGCAAGCCACGACTGCCGGTCCTCAGGCCAGCTTTGCGGGCTTCCGCGGATCGGCCAGTGACGAACCGGCGGGACAGACCTCTCAAAACAGTTCTTCACAAAGCAGCAGCCAACGCTACGCGCATGATCGGGACTATACGCGGCTGAGTGGACGGCTGGAGTACTCGAACATCGATCGCGTCTGGAAGCTTCGCTACATTCCAGCAGGCGGAATCGACGGCGACAACGACGAGTTTGGCGGGAGTGTGATCCTTCCTGACGTGCATGAGCTTGATCAGTTCGAGTCGGGCGACTTCGTCGAAATCGAAGGAGAGCCGCTGCCCCGCGATGCCAACGACTCGGGCTACGCACCTCGCTACGATCTGCGGCGGATTGCATCGCTCGATTGAGACAGAGTCTGACAGCAGTTCTGCATCCAAAGAAGCACAACGGCCGACCCTGGCGTACCAAGAATTGTCGTCCTCAGCCTGGGTCGATCCCCCGTCACTTTCTTAGCGGGTAGAAATACCGCTTTCTTCCGCAATTGGGCAGTTTTCAAATAGGATTGCAGGCCCTTCGGGTGCCAATTCGTCTACCTGCGGACGGGAATGTATTAGAATTGAACTCAGGCGGAACAGCCGCCCCGCGTGCTCAATTTTCGAACACCACCAGGCAGGCCACCTCGATAACGCTGTACTCCAGTGAACATTTTAGTGCCCCCCGCTCTCAAGCTCTCGACTCTACTGGGACCCGCCTCGGGCAACAGCGCCAAGCGCAAGCTGGCCGGCTGGTCGAAGCTGCTCCCCAAGATCGCCTCGTTCGAGCCCGGGCTTCAGGAACTGGATGACGAAGCCCTGCGTAAGCAGAGCCTGGCACTGCGTTATCGGGCGAAAAGCATGGAGCCGCTGGATAGCCTGCTCCCTGAGGCTTACGCCCTGGTCCGCGAAGCGGGCCGACGCCGCCTTGGCATGCGGCACTTCGATGTGCAAATGCTCGGTGGCATCGCCATGCACTTCCACAGCGTGGCTGAAATGCAGACCGGTGAAGGCAAGACGCTAACTGCTACGCTGCCGATGTACCTGAATGCCCTCGATGGCAAGGGCGCCCACCTGGCAACCGTGAACGATTACCTGGCTTCCCGCGATGCTAAGTGGATGAAGCCCGTCTACGAACTGCTCGGCATGACCGTGGGCATCATCGAGTCGCAAATGCCGCAGACGCAACGGCGAAAAGAGTATCAGGCCGATATCATCTACGGCACGGCCAAAGAGTTCGGGTTCGACTTCCTCAGAGACCGGCTGCTGTTGCGTCGTATCCGTGAAGGTCAAGTCGACGTCGTGGCCGGAATGATGAGTGGAGACAGTTCCGCAGGCGACAAACCCGTACAACGCAGTGCAAACTTCGCTCTGGTCGATGAGGCCGACAGTATTCTAATCGATGAAGCTCGAACGCCACTGATCATCAGCGCGTTGCCAACCGAAGCCGAGAAGGCTGCCGTGGCATGCTACACCTGGAGCGCCAGCGTCGCCAAGGAATTCGAAGAGGACGAGCACTTCGATTTCGACCACATCAAGCAAACGGTCGAACTCACCGCCGCGGGGCGGCAACTGGTGCGACGCTTGCCGAAGCCCGACGTGCTCGACACCATCGGCATGTTCACGATCTATGAATTCATCGAACGTAGCATCAAGGTGGCCAAGGTATTTCACCTCGACCGTCAGTACGTCATTCGCGACGGCGAGATTGTGATTGTCGACGAGTTCACCGGCCGCCTGGCCGAGGGCCGAAAGTGGCGAGACGGCATCCACCAGGCCATCGAGGCTCAAGAAGGCGTCGAGGTCACGGTGCAGACCGGGCAGGCCGCGCGGGTTACGATTCAAGACTTCTTCCTGCGGTACGCCCGACTTTCAGGCATGACCGGTACGGCGCTTTCGTCGGCTCGCGAAATGCGGCGGATTTATAAACTGAACGTTATCCCCATCCCCACGAACCGCCCCATTGCCCGTAAGCGCCTTCCGGACATCGTCACCGGCACGGCCGAAACCAAGTGGGAAGGCATCGCTCAAGAGGTTCGCGAAGTGCACGCGCAGGGTCGACCCGTGTTGATCGGCACGCGCTCGATCGATAAGTCTCACATCCTTTCGAAGCTGCTCACCGCCGACGGCATTCCGCACCAAGTGCTCAATGCCAACCATATCGCGGCCGAAGCCGAGATTGTGGCCGAGGCCGGCAAAACCGGAAAAGTGACCGTATCAACGAACATGGCCGGACGTGGTACAGACATCAAGCTGGGTGAAGGCGTGCACGACCTCGGTGGGTTACACGTCATTGCCACTGAGATGCACGATTCAGCTCGCATCGACCGGCAGTTGTTCGGACGTTGTGGTCGTCAGGGCGACCCGGGTACGATCCGCCAATACTTGTCACTCGACGATGACATTCTGCTCTCGGGCTTAGGCCCGAAGAAATCCAAGAAGCTGAAGGCACTTGGCGAAAAGGTCAAAGGTGGGATGAAGGGAATGGCCTCATACTTCCGCAAAGCACAACGAAAGATCGAACGACGTCACTTCTCCGACCGCAAGATGCTGCTGTATTACGAGAAGGAACGTAAAAAGATGCAGCAGCAGATGGGCCAAGACCCGTATCTCGATACACCCAGCTAAGCCAACCTACGGTGGGTTTTTCTGCCCCACCCTCGCTCAGGGCCCCTCGCGCAACTTTTTCATGCGTGGCCGCAATACTGCCACGACGATCACTGCGACCAGTGCGAAGATAAACAGCTTGGGACGCACGGCCAGCACCACGGCCAGAAAGAGCGTGCCGAAGAGGAATACCTTGCTCGACCAAAGCCCTAGCTGCGGTAAAGCCAGCCACATGACGGCCAGCAGAATTCCAATTCTCACGCATGCCGCCGACCATTGCTGATAGCCGCTCTCCGCCAGCCCGGAGAACTCGAGAACGCCCCCAATGACGAGTAGGACGACGGCCAGAATCCCAACACGGTGACGTTCCATCAATCGCTGGCTCGGATGAGTATTCGACATCTACAATTGCGGCGGCTGGCGGGTGATCTGCCTGCCATGATGCGCAGAACCGGCTGTAGAAGACAACCGTCGGCACACGAAAGCCGAGGCTACTGAAACAACTAGGATGAGCCTTTGATTGATCAACCGCTAAATTCGATCCAGCGAATCGATCCAGCGTGTGAGCTCGTCGAGTTGTTGCTCGTTCAGGTATGCCTGGGAACTGTCTAATTCGCGTTCCGTCAGTGGGTACCGCTTATCTTTCAAGGCAGCGATACCTTTGCGAATTCGAACCGCGGCTGGAGACTTCTCGAGCGTAGCAGAATAAACCGCCAGCGGCAGCAAGGGCTCGTTACCCGGGGGCTCGGCCATCAGTGGAGCATCAACCACCGCTACCCCACGCACCACGTCTCGTTTATTGATCGCCAGAGCGTAGGCCATGACTCCGCCCGACTGTTGACCGTGCAACACCACCCGAGCGTCGTCGATATTGTAGTTCTGCTGCACCTGGTTGATCGCCTTCAGTACGAATGGCAAATCCAGCCGTGTCCATTTTCCGGCCACTGCCGAACGTGGGGCAAGAAGAATGAGGTTCGCCTGCGCGGCACGTTCCTTCCAGCGGTCGAGCAAGAGTTCATCTTCGGCTGGCTCAGCACCATCGAGCCATACTAACAACCCATACGGAATGCGTGGATCGTAGTCTTCCGGGACAAAAACGAGCGAGTCGTTGGCAAACTCGGGCACCCTTAGTTGGAAGTTTCCGACCGGGGGAATTTCGACGGCCTCTCCAATAGCCGTGTCAGAGGTCTGTGGGAGCTCGGCAGGGATACTCTCCGGCACGCTTGCCAGACTGGCCGGGAATTGAAGCTCCGCGGAGTCACGTTGAACCACCAGGGATACTTCATCGCCAGGCTGAAGCGTGGCAAAGGCCTCGGTCAATTCCTGCCGATCGGCAATCTTGTTCTCGCCAACGCCGACAATCACATCGCCCTCTTGCACACCCGCCGCGAAGGCCGGGCTGTCTGGATAGACATATCTCACCGCAACGCCTTCACCTTCTGGCGAGTCGCGACGGGGTAGAATTCCCAAGAACGGCTGGGCATAGGGCTCGATGCTTTCGACCAGTTCGACTTCGAATTCGAGCCGTTGATCGTCTCGCATGACGACAACGTGCGCCGTATCTCCCGCATACTTGGGCCGAATCTGTTGGTAGAGTTGGCTCAGCCATTCGACTGGGGCACCATCCACTTCAATGATCCGGTCATCGGCCTTCAGACCTGCCTTGGAGGCGGGTGAGTTCGGAATCGCGGCAGCCAACACTACGGGTCCGCTCAAGGGGCTTTTATTCCGTAAAGCGATGCCAAGTTGGCCAGCGTGCAAATCGTCTCCCGATCGCAGACGCGGCAGAATCTCTTGAATGTGCTCGAGCGGAATGCCGAACCCAATTCCCGAGTCGTACCATTCAACCCCGGCCGATTCGTCGGTGCCGCTGGGCGATAAGGGTACGAGAACACCCAGTACGCGCCCGAATACATCGATCAGCGGTCCGCCATAGTTGCTCGGCGAGATCTTGGCATCAGTCTGCAGGGCCTTATTCCAAATGCGATTCTCGGCACTGACAATGCCGACCGACATGTTGGGCTGATCGCCAGGAAACGTTCGCCCCACGGCGATGGCCCATTGCCCGATGTTCACCGAATCGCTGGGCGCCACCTCCGGCGTGGGTAGCGGTTCTTCCACTTCGACCTTAAGCAGGGTAATCATCCGGCTGTGATCGGTGGCCACCAACGTGGCGGGTGCTCGAGAGCCGTCGGGCAATGTCACCACAATGGATGCGGGTTTCTGGGCAAAGTTAAACGCGCTGGAAACGATGTACCCATCGGGCGTGACTATCAACCCCGTGGTTGGACCGGTACCGACTAGCACTTGGCCTACGCGATCGAGCCCGCCGACGGTTTCCACACGCACCACTGAGGGTGCGACCCGTTCAACCGCGGCTTGCATGGCCTGGTCTTCGAGTACGACCAGATCGTCTTGTGCCGTGGCCGAAGCAGCCAAGGCCCCCTCGACAAGCATGCAAATCAAACCGATGGCGAGAAATCTGATCATACGATTGAAATTCAAACTACCGCCCTCCTGAGCCATCGGGAGCGGCTTGCAGCGTAAACTCGATGAACTCGTTATTTCGCATCACAGAAATTTCCACCGGGTCGGCCCGATCGATATAGGTCAGCTCGTCGAACAAATCGTTGCACGATTGAATGAGCCGGCCATTGACGAAGATGAGAAGATCGTCAGGACGGAGTCCTCCTGCGTAAGCGGGCGTGCTCGAGCGGATCTGATCGATAAACGGTGGAGTGCGCTCTAAAACATTTGGCACCAGCACGATGCCTAAGAGGTCTAGGCTTAGCGGATAGTCCGAACGTTGCTCACCAGTGGTTTCGGTGACCGAGCCTTCGTATTCTCCGAGAATCATCTTGTTTACGGTCGGGGCCAATTCACCCATCGGGATGGAGTAGTTTAGCCAGGTGTTGTTCAGCGAATTTCGCAACTCTTTCCCCAGCATTCCCAACAGATCGCCACGGCGATTGGTGAGCACACCCCCAGCCGCACCCGGGTTGTTGGTCATGGCATCGAGTACATGCACGGGACCGTTGTAGGGAGTTTCAAATGCGCCATGGCGGGCTTCCAGATTGGTTACCACGGCGATGCTTCCGTGTTGCACGCTGGCCGCTTCGTCGCCGGTCGCGACGCCGTACAGATTACTGAATGCCAGAACACGCGTGCCGGCCGAGGCCTCGACGCTTTCTGAAAGATTGAAGTACGGAAGGTCATCCGCATCGATCTTCAGCACGGCCAGCTCGAGCCGAGGATCGGCCGCCACAAGTTCGGCATCGAACCGGCGCCCGTCGTTGAGCGTCACAGTGATGTAGTCGGTATCCAGCACGTAACTCCAAACGGTGAGTACATGCCCCTCGGGAGAGACCAGCATCCCACTTTGATAAGGTTCGAGTCCCCGGAACCCGCCAGCACCGTAGATTTTGACGATCTTGGGTTGGGTTTCAGCAATTGCGTCGGAGAAGGTTCCGTTCGCCCGCAATGGGGCGGCGGTGCCTAGCGCAATTGTGAGCACTAACAAGACTCGCGCGACTAAACTTACAAGCAGAGGGTTACGCACTCTCATGGCCGCACCTCCCCTGCTTCTAAGCTGGCCTCATCGATACTCAATACGGTGAACACCTCGTCGCCATATTCGATCTCGATGAGGTGCGGTAGTTGCTGCTGGCCGACGGTGCGGTAGTCGCTTAAGCGAAGCCGGCAGGGGTCGACAACTTCACTAGGAAACATTTCGACCGCCAGCACGTCACCTTCCACCGGGTCGATCGAGAAGTGACATTCCACGCCCGCGTAAAACCCGACCAGCACGTCGGCCATTCCATCGTGCCCTGGCAACGGCGAGGTGCCGAGATAGTACATCTGTCCAAAGTCTTCAGGACCGTTCACCAAAATGCGCCGCCAGAGTGCAAGAGCGAGAAGCATCCCTCCGCTGCTGGGCGGGTCAAGCGAACTCGCCGCATCCTCGGCAAGGGTGACCTGCCACTCATTCATTGGAAGCGTCAATCGGGCGGCAATATCGTCGATGTCTAACGAGAATCGGTCGCCGCTGACCACGGTACCCTCGAGGTGCCAGGGCCCAGCGACCGTGGTGAAGTCGCCGTGAGCCGACATCGATTCCCACACGCGGGAGCGTTCGAGTTCGTTGAAATAGTAGTTGATGTATCCGGTGCGTTTCTTGACCAAGTCAGCCGGACGGGGTCCATCGGATTCGTCGTTTGTTTCGTCGATGGGAGCTTCTTCAGGCGTGGGCTTCTCGTGACCCGGGGGTTGTTCTCCGGGCATCTGTTTGAGCAGTGCACGCAGTTCAGTCGGGTTGTGGAGGCGTTGCAGGCGGACCAGCACATCGTGCTTCTCGCCATCGCGTCGATAACTCAACGGGATGCGCCATCCTTGCGGGAAGATACCCAGCACGTTCTTGAAGGCATTCACCGTGCGTATCGGGCGTCCCCCAAAGCTGACTATCTCGTCGCCGAACCGCAACCCACGGCGGTAAGCATCTGAATTATCCAGGATATCGCCGACGATCACACGCCCCTGGGCGTCGGTAGAAACGGTGGCACCCAACGTGGCATGATCGACCACACGTCCGCTTCGTAAGTGGCCCAAAAAGTTCTTCACTTGATTAATGCTGATGGCATAGCCCACCCCGACATTCACACGCCCGCGTTTTTCGAACGAGCCACGCCCGACGATGCCGATCACTTCCCCCTGGGCATTGAACAGCGGTCCGCCGGAGTTACCAGGGTTGATCGAAGCATCGGTTTGAATGCAATCGGAGTACTCGAGAATCGTCCCGGAGGGATACTGGTAGCGGTTCACCCCGGAGATAATGCCGAACGTTACCGTCGGTTGATAATCGGTCGCCAGCAAGAAAGGGTTGCCCACGACGAACGACCAATCGCCGGGCCGAACTTTGTCGCTATCGGCCAGGCGGGCGGCAGGAAAATCGTCGCGGCCTAGCAGCTTCAACAAGGCAACGTCGCCGGTGGGATCGATGCCCACAATCACGGCGTCGTAGAGTTGACCATCGGACATTCCACACTTCATAACGTCGCCCGTGCTCGAGGTGACGTGGAAGTTGCTCACCGCGTAGCCATCGGGCGAGATGACCACCCCAGAGCCACCGCCGTCGCCGCCTTCGGCCGAGAAGATTGCCAAGGCCGAGCGGCTAGCTTTCGCCATCACTTCGATACGTTCCGCTTCGGCATCAAGTACCGCCTGGGGAACATCTTGCGCAACCGCTAAGGTTGCACCCCAAGCCAATACAAGGCCAAGTACCGAAGCGCCGATGTGTAGTTTAGCCGTCCTGAGCTTCATTTCACTATCCTAGCGTCACATAAATCGAAGTGATCCGAGATATCGAGATCCTGCCCGAAATCCACAATCAGTCGTAAACGCGTTGCCCCCGTTAGATCGAGATCGATTGGCAACGGTTTGTCGTTGCCGCCGATCTCCTGGTCCAACAGCAGTTGATCGTCGGCGTACACCAGCAAGTGCACGTGCCCCTGAGGTCGCATACGATCGTCAATTCCGGCCAGCGCCACAAAGCGGCGGTACTTTCCTGGCAGCCGGTATACCAATTCGGTACGGCTGCGGATGGCCATTCCACGGGTGTAAGCTTCGCCTGCAAGTCGAAGTGCTTCGCCATCGAAGGCCTGATCGCGCCGAGGCAGATAGTAGTTCAACGTGGACGCCGGCAACTGCATTGCTTGAAAGTAAGGAGTCCACTGCTGCGTCTCGGTTTCAAGATCGCTCAAGTAGACGACTTTCCCCTGGCTGAAGTCGACGTTGCGGATTTCATTCCACGGTATGTCGAGTTGAAGCCCCGAAAGTGTGGTTGCCTGCAGGGCATCTTCGGCAAGCGAGATATCACTCGCCATGAGCAGTAGCCCATCGCGGCCGCGCACCTGGCAGACCGCTTCTGCCGACTCGGCTGCGGTGGCGTTGTAATAGATCAGCCCCGCCACTTTACTTCGCTTGACCGCAAGTTCGTCTCCATCAAGCGAAAATGTGACGGTCTGGTCGGTCACATCACCCAGGACACCTTCAAGGAAGTCGAGACTATCGCCTTTGTTCACCACCAGAACGTCTGTGGCATGTTCGGCCGCGACGATTTCGTTCCATTGCCCATCCACCGAGGGAGAGGCCGGCACGAACCGGACCCAGGACAACGATTTAGCCGGTAACTTCCAAGTCGTTTCTCCGTTGTCAGAAAAGACACTGGCCTCCGAATCTTCGACGGTAAACTTGCTGCCGCGCAAACGGCTACCGTCGGTCAGAACAACGGGGAAGGATGGAGCGTCAGCGTTTGAGCCGGAACGATTTGTTGCCGCGGAAGTTGTCTCGGCTCGGGGTGTGACGCCAAGGACGTCGGTGGTGACTAACGTCGTCGCGGTGCCGTCTTCGCTTTCAAGCGTCATCGACTTCGCGCCCAACTCCGTCAGTGTGCCCGTCAGCGTTTGGCCAGAAAGCTGCCGCACCTCGACCGCGGGCCCCGCGGCCAGGGTTGCGACGATCAAGCTCACTGCGCTTAGGGTCATGCTCATCTCAAAGTGCTCGAGTAGTTCGAGAAATTCTCTCTTAAAGAAGTGTCTAAAACGTTGGAAGTGTAGTCAGCGGTTCTCGCTTCCTGGCTGGCGACTTCCCTCCTGGGCGCTACGACGGAAGTACTGCTCGATGGCAGCGCGGTAGTGGGAAGGAAACTGCTGACTGATTTGTTGCAGCGCCGCTTCGCGCTGTTTGGGAGGTAAATCACCCCAGCCTGAGCCCGAGCCGATCGACTTCGGATCGACTTCCCCGGGACCCTTGCCGGCCATGATGCGACTTTCTTCTGCCGGAGCACTTGGTTGCAACGGGGCTGCTCCGCCGCCGCTGCCACCGCCCTGCTGTTGCTTCTCCATCTCTTCGATCAGCTTGTCTAGCGAGGCGATCACCCCGTCTTCGACTTCTTGTGTCTTCTCACCAGGGCGGCCAAGTTCAAGACGCCGCTGAATGTCTTGCATACGACGGGAGATGTGGTCCAGCGATTCATCTTCCAGGCCTTCCAAATCGACCTGCATGAGACCGGCGATGGAAACATACCGCCGCGGGGTGGTCGAGGGTCCGCGGAGTAATCTCTCGATCGCCTCCAAGCCTTGCACCTGGTTCAACATGCGATGGTGAACGACGGCCTGATAAAATAGCAAAGAAGCCGGATCGACAACGTCATCAACGGTCAGCCCTTCTAGTTGAACGCTCGCCTCATCATATAGCCGCTCGCTGGCCAACCAACGCCCATAGAGCAACTTCAGATTGTTGCGGACCAGCGCGGGAAGCGTTTCATCATCGAGGACATCGATCTCCGGCAACGGCAACTTCTCCAGCGGACGATCGCACAAGGCAACCAACTCAGCCGCGCGAGGGTCAATCAAACCAACCGTCTGAGCGGTCACCTCAAGCACCACCTCTGCAGAGACAGGCCCCGGAGCGATCTGTTCTTTCCAGAGCTTCTCTGCCTGCTCGAGCTTGGCCTTCTCAGCGTCTTGCTCTTCTAGCCAGGTGAATAACTGCTGGCGCACTTCAGCCGGATCGGGGGCTTGCCAGACAGCGTCCTCGTAGATCTCCTGCCCGCAGGCGCGGAGGCTCATCGCAAGAACCGTTGCCGGCACCAGAACATGCAGTAGATGGAAGCGAATTTGGTTGATCATCGTCACGTTTCCACGATCGATGTGCACTACTATAAGTTTAGGACCCTTCGGCGCGTCCGACCACAATGTCGCGTAGCACGCGGTAGATACGCAGTTCTCTAGCGGACAGTTCTTCCAGGGCCTTCAACAGATCGGGCTCGAAGGCTTGTTCGCCTTCGACCATTTCCGAGAAGCGAACTGTTCGCCGGTTAACACGCATCTGAAGGGCGCGAATCATCTTCAGTTCGGCCAATCGATCGACCAGTGGCGGATCGGCCGGTTGACCTTGCTGCTGCTGTTGCTGTTGTTGCTGCTGTTCTTCGAGATCGGCCTGGGCCTTTTCCAGGGCGGCTATGATCTCTTCAAGCGCAGCAATAATGTCTTCTTCAATCGCCTGCGTAACTTCAGACACTTTGCTCTGGGCAAGTCGGGTGGCGACCTGCTGCATGTCTTCCCGCATTTGGAGAATCGCCTCTGGCAATGCAACGGCGGTTCCATCGTCGCTGAGAATTGCCAATGCTTTCTCGGCATCCAGAATCAATTCCGATTCGCGGCTGCTTAGACGCCCCGCCTGGATCTCTTCGTCACGCTCCCACTGCTCGCGGGGAACGTTGTCTAACCGAAGCGTGTCTTCGTAGATGGCCACTTGTAGATCGAGCATTTTGCGGAAGCGGGTTTCCAGCATGCCCAACGTTCTCTTGATTTCTTCTTCGCGCAGCTGTCGCAGAATCTGCTCCAACTCGGCTTTGGCTTGCTCGAGTTCGCGAAGGGCTTCCTCTTGCTTTTCGACGGCCTCTTCTCGCAAAGCATCTTCAAGTCGCTTCTGGGCTTCGCGCATCTTCTGCTGCGCGGCCTCGAGGCGTTGTTGGACCGGATCGCTTTCCTTGGACTGCTGTTCTTGCGACTGCTGCGGCTTACCAGAACCGCCCCCCGGCATTGGCTGTCCGCCGGGCTGACCGGGGGACGAACCTTCCTGCGGCTCGCCGCCTGATTCGGACGGCTCACCCTCGCTCGATTCAGACTCCGAATCGGCTTTCTCACCTTCGCCTGGAGCGTCGGCCGATTTCCCATCAGCAGGTTTCTCTGCGCCGTCCCCCTCGGCATCGGATGGTTCGCCTTCTGCTTCCGCCGGCTCTGCATCCTCAGCCTTGCGATCGTCGTCAGATGATTCGCCATCGCCGTCGGTCTCGCTGGCCTCCTCGTCAGCAGTACGCATCTCCTTCGACAACTCTCCGGTGCGGTCGGCGAGTTTGGCTTGCAGGCCGGCATTGCGTTGGGGCTCTCCGCCCGACTCGGTGGAGCCTTGCACGGCCCGCTGTTGTTTGATGAGTTTGTTGACTTCCTTAATCCACTCCTCAACCTGCTTTTTGCGCTCATCCAGTTTTTTGTTGCGGTCTTCGCTGAGCAGCAAATCGAGCAGGGATACGAGATCCGTCTGCAGGGCTTCCTGGTTCTTCACGGCGTTTGCCAGGCGATTCGACTTGAGCAGATCGATGACTTCGTTGAGCTGCACACCGATCATGTCTTCCTTGCTTTGCGCCACCGTGCGCCGCAGGAGGGCAGCCCGTTCCGGGTCTTCCGAGGCAGCCAATTCGGCGACACGCAGCAACACCTCTTCAAACCGCTGATACTTGGCGGCCAGTTGCTGTTGCTCGAGCGCCAACTGCTCGGCCGGCTCCATGTTGGTCGCATCATCAGTTGAGGCAGGCGCAGACTCATCCTGGGCCTGCGCAGTGGAAGCCAACACCACCATCACAATAATGATGAGCGAAAGCCAACCGAATTTGAGACGTTGCATGGTCATCGTAAGTCGAAGCCTCCGGCTTCTTTCAATAAACTACTCGCGTATAGCGTGGATCAACCCGTTTCGCGGGCTCTACCTGTTGATGCGTTTACGGCTATTCCTCCAACAATCTTCTCAACTGAGCTTTGCGTTCTTCTTTGGTCAGTTCGCTGATCTTTTCTTGCGATTCGATGATCGATTCGAGCAAGTCGACCAGCTCGTTGAATGTTTCGAGTTCGAGCATGCGATCGAGCACGCGACGCATTTCGGCGAGAATCTCTTCCGATTCGAGCACCGAGGCGGCCAAGGCAGCGTCGAGGGATTCCAGATCGACTTCCTCGCCCGCGGCTGCCGGTAAGGCGTCGCGGAGTTGCTCCAATTCGCCACGGAAGCTGGCAAACATCTCGTCGGCAATGTTCCGAAGTGGGCTGGCAATGCCGTCGTTGAGCCTGGAGAGCAACTCCTCGTAATCCGGAACGCGGTTGTTTTGGAGTTCGGCCCCGATCTGTTCGAAGCTGGTGGCAATGCCGAGCGTTTCCGCGCTATTCATGCGGGAGTCTTGTAATGCTCGCTGCACGCCCAACATAGCGAGCGAAAGGGCCTTGGCCGCGTTATCGGCGGACGAATCATCTGCCTCGCTCTCCGCGCTCACGGCGGGGTCTTCCTCGACGGGAACCAAAGCCTCGGGTGCGAGCGTGATCAGACGCTGATGCGTGGTCTCCACCGATTCGATGATGCTTTCGAAGCGGCGGCGAAGATTAAGTTCTCGCGATTCGAGCATTGCCCGAAGTTCTTCGGGAGTGACCACGTCGAGCGTGAAGGTCTCGCTGGCCCCTTCGTGTGGCCCTTCCGGCTGCAGTGCGTGATTGTCTGAGGCAGCCATGCGGATTTCCAATTGCCGCCCCGGCTCCAACTCCAACGCCCTCACGTCGAATGCTTCCCGAACCTCAACATCGGTGATGTTCTTCCGGGGAAGTCGCACATCGGCACGTCGCGGATGTCCGTGGTCGATAAGGTATTCGAACCACAGCTCAACCACGCCGTAATCGTCGGTTAGCTTGCCGGCGAAGGGGAGCCGTGCCATGGGGGTGATGGCCGACCCGATCCCGTCAGGACGAATCGAAAGTTGGGGCTCACTATCGGGAATGGCCGCCAAGGCGAGCCGCAACGGTTCGCGGTTCTGTAGTCCGTCGGTGTCAGTCAATGTGAACAACAACACTCGATCTTGGTCCAGGCTGTCTAATGTAAGGTCGAAGGATTCTTCACTCGCCAGCGAAAGTTGTTGCACCTCCTCGGGTGCGTCTCCTCCTGTGAGTTGAACCTTAACCCCCAGCAGTGGCTTGTTGGAAGAAGCATGCAGCACGATGCCCGCCCCGCGCGGCACCTGCATCGCCCCGGTGGCCTGGTTGCCGGCCGAAGGGCTGAGGCCCGTGTAGGCTGGATAGCTGAAGTCGAGCGTCATCTCGGTGATCGTGGGACTGTCAACAACCTCAAGACGCAGATCGTCCAGCCGAACGTCTCCCCCTTCGATTTGAACCATCCGTCCTGAGGGTATGGCCTCGAAGGTGTAGGTGTAGTACTGATATTCCTCTTTTCCCGCGGTGGCTTCCCCTTCGCGTTGCATGAACTGCCGGCCACGCACGCCTTCGTCGGTGAGGTAGGTCAGTTCCACAACCTCGGGCACTTCTTTGGCAGTGTCGGCTTTTACCAAGATTTCAACATCGGAACCGCGGGCCACTTTGCGATGACCGTCGTCGAACCCTTCAACTTCTAGATGGGTTCGGCGGGGCCATAGCTCGCTGGAAAGCATCACGACGCGGTTTGCCCATACGTTGAAGTGGCCTGTAGCCCCCGCAGCGAAGAAGAGTACGGAACAAACGGAAACGACGGCCGCAAAAACACTGCGACGCAACGGGTCGAAATCCAAAACCTCATCGACATCGAGCGATTCGAGTTTCGCGGTCGCCTCTTGCCGCACGGCCTTCAGCAAACTGGCATTGGCACCACTGCCCTGAGGGTCATCGCCCATTTCAACCGCAGTCAGCAGGCTGTCGTTCAGGTGACTGAAACGACGCTCCAAGAGAATCGCCATGCTGCGATCGGACAACGGCTTGACGACTCGGGCAACGATTAACCGGTAGAGAATCGTGACAACCGTCGCCCCCACGGCAAGCTGGAATGCAATCCGCACCGGGACCGAAGGTTCAAACAACCAGTCGAACGCCAGCGAAACCCAAAACGCAATCGCTACCGCGGCCACGGCCGTGGCGATTCCCTCGATCCAGGCGTAGCGACGGATACGACGACGCAGGCGGTTCAATACCGCTGCGATCGATCCATCGCCGGCTGGCGAGGCAAGACGTTCGGTTTGTTGGCGAAATTCGTTCACGGTGTTTTCTGGTTTAAGCCAGTCGGCTCAATCTACGGGTTAACCACTCCAGGCACAGAATGCCGCACAAAACTAGCAGCACCCATACGTTGTTCCAAAGCGGGATTGGTGCATCACGAATCACTTCTGTGCGCGTTCGATCGCGAAGCATTTCGGCGAGCGGCTCGCTGCCGGCTCCATCGAGCATGTCGGTGGTGCCCACGTAGTACTCGCCTCCGGTGGTCGAAGCGATTTCACTAAGTAGGGTGTCGTTGCGGCGTGGGTTCTCGCGTTCTACATCGGGCACGCGAACCTGGACGCGGCGGCTGAGAATCTCATCGCCCAACTCGGGCACGTTCACTTCCAGGCGATAAACCCCCTCCTGCCGGGCAGCAAACTGGCCAGAGTAACTTCCCTCGTGAGCAGGATCGGCAACCATTGGGATGGGCATTAGATTCCCATCGGGTGCGACCACCTGCAGGGGTACCTCTGGTGTTGTCAATGGTTCTTGCTGTGCATTGGAAAGCTGCGCCCGGACTACAACGGTTTGCCCAAGCACGTATCGATCACGTTCGACCAGCAACGTGCCGCGACTGCTGCCACGGAGCAGTCGGCCGCCGGATACATGACGAATGAGTTTGGTGTAGAAAGCCTCGAACGCTGTCGGGTCGACACTGCGAAGACGCCACATCTCACCGCTGCCGAGGTAGAACACGCGGCCGGCACCATAGAACTGCCCAGCCATGTACACCGGCGGGCCTTCTGCCCCCACGGCACGTGGATCGGAGAAGTGGGCGTAGACGGTGGCCGTAGGTTTGGCTCCCCGAACGGCAAAGTATCCGTAGACGCCAGGGAACTCTGACCACAGACGCGAGCTTTCTGTAGCCGTGTCGGCAAGCCACAGGAATTCGGCCTCCATCCCGGCCCGGTTGAACTCCACAGGCCAGGGCTCGGTCGAACCGAACCGCCCATCGTCGAGCAGCGAAAGCCGTTGCTCGAAATCGACTGGATAAAGTGCCCTGATCTTGTCCATATTCGGAAGCTGGGTCCAGCTTTGCGTATGCACCGGACCCGAGAACACGATCAGCCCGCCGGCCTCATCGGCGACCCATTTTTCCAGTAGATCGAGTTGCTCTTGGTCGAGTGCGTGCCAAGCTGGATCGAACGCCACGACGCAGTCGTACTCGTATAGCTCTTCCGCCTCGCGGGGGAATTCACTCAGTATGTGATCGGCTTCCTGCGAGATACCTGCGGATGCCGACTGAAGACAGATATCGACCGTGGTAGTTGCATCGCGATAAAGCTGCGTCCGTAAGAAACGGTACTCCCGCATGGGACCGCCGGCGAACAACAAGACCTTCGTCGTGCGATCGACGATTTCGATGTCGACCTCTTGCGCGTCGTCACGAGGGTTGTTGTCTTCGACCGAGGTTCGCACCCGCACTGCCAAGGTGCGGCGACCGGGGGTCTCCGGCGTGAGGACGAACTTCACCGGAACGGCTACGCCATCGGCACCCAGCGTGATTTGTTCGCTGGCCTCGAGCGTGACATTGTCGTCACCTTCGGAGTCGGCATCGCGGCTGGTCAGCTCAACCGTGGCCGTCTGTCCGGCGAGGCCTTGAGTTTGGACAAACGCAGTGGCTGTGTAAGCATCGCCTGGATGTGCGCGAATGGGGGCCACGAAATCGGCGATGCGAACGTTGGTAGGCTGGCGGTCTGAACCCAGCCCGACGGTGAACACCGGGATCTTGGCTTCTTGAGCCATCTCGATGGCGGCCGCCACATCGAGGCCCGCATTCTGCCCCCCGTCGCTGAATACAACCACTCCGGAGACAGGCTGGGCTCGTTCGTCGTGAATTAGTTGCCTGAGCGCGGCGCCCAGCCGGGTTTCCACACCCACCGGGGCCAGCGCCTCTTGCCAATCGAGTGGCGATTCGTCCGCCCCTTCTTCGGGCGGAACGGCAATGTTTTTCGCGTTCGGGTCGAGCTTCTCAAGCGTTGTAACGCGAGCTACAGAATCATCGAATCGCAGGACGGCTACATCGTGTTTCTGGCGAAGTTTATTGATCCACTCCCCGCTATTCAGCACGTCGGTAATTGGTGTCAGGCGACTCGCCGGCAAGCCGTCCATGGTCGAAGCGTCGGCCAGGCTCATGCTGAGGCTGGTGTCGACCAATATCAACAGACGACTGTTCTGTGGCTCGAAGCGTTCGGTCCGCCATTGCGGCTTTAGCCAGATGAGAAACAGGCCAAGGAATGCTGCGATGCGGAGGAAGGCGAGGAACCAACCCACCACTGGCCGCAACTCCACACTGTCGCGACGGTACATGTAATGCACGAACAGAATGATCAGCACAAGCACCACGGTCGGGGCAATCCAATCGATGTTCGATTGGATGCGACCCCACTCGAATGTGGTTTGTGACGCATCAAGTGCCAGGAGTACGGGAGCGATTAAATTCATATCGCGTGCTCCTGGGGCTTGGTGTGATAGCTCAGCGAGTACGACAACAACTGCTCGCCAATGAGCATGGCGACCAGCAGATAAAGCAGCATTTCACTCAACTGGAAGTCGTTCGACTCGGAAACCGTGAGTTCAAAATCGCTCGCATGGTGGAAGCTGTAATTCACATCTTCCAAACGGCTGGCCAACTGCTGGGCATCGAGCGTGGTGAGATTCCCTTCCTCGGCAACAACATTGAAGGCGTACTGTCTGTTCTCGGTCTGCCCGTCTTTGCGTTGCAGCTCGGCGGTATAGATCCCCGCGGAAGACGTGTCAGGGTATACGGCCCTGAGCCCGTCTTCATTTACGGTGGCCTCCACTATTTCTGTGGCGGTGGATTGCGAAGGAGGTGTCACACGAACCTGAGGACGATAAGTCGCCGGGTCGAGCAGCAATTCCAGCGGTTCACCCACTAAGCGCTCCTTCAAGCCTCGGTCGGAGTTGCTGAGATACGACTGCATCTCGAGCAACGCTACAACGAAACTCGGGTTTCGACCCCAGTTGTTCCACTGTGGCGAGGCCGTCGTCAGCACGGCCATCACCCTCCCCTTGCCAAGGCGCCGTTCAACCACCAGCGGATCACCGTTTCGCAGCTTGGCGATTACCTGCACGGAAGAGTTTTCCGCCGGGGTCCAATCATCAGCGGTTCCGAAATATCGTTGGATGGTGACCGCCGAAAGAAAGCTATTCCGCTCCCCGGCGAATACCGAGAACACCGGATGATTCGTCACTTGTAAATCAGCCGCGCGTTGCAACCGATCGACGAACAATTCGGTGGAACCAATCAGCGGCAGAGGGAAGAAACCGTTCCCCTCGCGATACAACTGCGTGTTAACGAACGTCGGGTCGGTCAAATCGCCGCAGAAAAACGCCAAGCCCCCGCCACCTTCGACGAAATTTTCGAGTGCCGAAATGGCCGATTCATCCAGCCGGTTGATGTTCGTTAAATAAATGACCGAGAAATCATCCAGCGATTCCGTATCGAGAAAACGCATGGGCTCGATCTGTGTCGAGATGCCTGTCTCGACCGGCCCCCCGGGAGACAACGCCCAAGCTAGAAATCGGGCATCGTTACCTTCGGGATCGCCATCGACGATCAAGACCTTCACTGTGAGCGGTAGGTCGATCACACTTTCGTATCGATTGTCGACCAGCACTGCGTCGCTATCGAGCGAAGCGGCCAAGAGATGCTCGCCCGCGGTTGGGAAGCGAACAGGAAAGCGTCGAACCTCGGTCTTCCCCGCCGCAATGCTATCGATGAGCACGGCAGGGCGCGGCGAACCGTCTTCTTCCAGCAACACCGAAACGTCGTGTACCGGTTCGGTCCCAAAATTCGTCACGGCAACTTCATGGAACAGAGCTACGCCGGCAGCCCTGGTGCCAGAAAGTGGCTTCAGCGAGGCGATCGCCAAGTTGGGTCGAGTCTTGTCGACGCAATCGACCAGTTCGACTCTTGTGCCTTCGCCGCTGAGCTTGGCGAGCGTTTGCTTCAACTCGTCGGGTTCGGCCCATTGCCGCGAGCGGTAGTCGGACACCAGGTAGACAATCCGCTGCTCGCCATCCGAGGGCCCTAAGAGTTCGTCGAGCGATGAGAATGCCGCCTCAGGACCAACGGCCAGCGCGGTGGGGGCGAGGGGGCGTAGTAGATCATCGAGCCGATTAGGAAACGCGGCCGTGACGACCTCGGCCAGCAAGTCTGGCTGAGGTGGACCGCCACGGGGGGCAGCCTGCGAAAGCCTTAGCAGCGTAAACGATTGCGAGATCCCTTGGGCAGCGGCCTGCTCGCCTAACCGAGAGATGGACTGCTTGGCGACCTGAAAAGCATCGGCATTAGCCCAGCGATCGGACATTGAGAAACTATCGTCCAGCAAAACCACGTGATGGGTGGTCGTACTACCCAGGAACCGCGCCAAGCTGCTCCGCATCAGCGGTTGAGCCAGCATCAGCACAATCGCCGCGATGGCCAGCATTCGCAACGCCAGCAACAGCAGCTCGCGAAGCATGACCCAGGTGCGATTCTTCTTCTGGCTGACAAGCAGGAACTCCATCGCAGCCCACTTCACGCGCCGTTGGCGCAGCATGTTGATCAAGTGGATCAACACGGGGATCGCCACGATCAACAATCCCCACAGCAGCATTGGGTTTAAGAAACTCGGCATATCAATCCAAAATGAAATATTGTGCGACTTCGCGGTGGAGGGTGTTAGTTACGGTGGTGCATTCCCAGGCGGTTGCTCATGTATGAAGCTAGCGCGGAATCGAGTGGGTCGCTCGTACGCATCAAGGCGTAGTCAACCATCTCGCGGGCGCAGCCATGACGCACCTCTTCCAGAAACTCGCCTAACGCGGCCATGTATCCATCACGAAGTGCGCGAGGATTACACGTCAGTCGGTCGGCGGTTTCGAGCCCTTCGAACCGAGTCGAACCATCGAACGGAAAATCGAGTTCATCATCATCCAGCACATGAAAAACCATTACGTCGTGCCCACGCTGGCGCAGTAGGCGAAGCCCTCGCAAGAATGGCTCTCGCGGGGCGAGCAAGTCGGAAATGAGCACCACCATTCCACGTCGTGGATACACCTCAGCCACTCGGCGAAGAATATCGTAGAAGTCGGTTTTCGCCTTCTGCTCGCTGGTCTCGAGCGCCTCGACAATCAGGTTTAGGTGATTCTCTCGACTGCGGACCGGCACTTCAGCTTCGACCCCTTCACCAAAGGTCACACAGCCCACCGCGTCGTGCTGCCGCAGCAACATGTAGGCCAAGCTGGTGGCCACCGTGGCAGCGTAGTCGAATTTATTGAGCGGGCCCGCGCCGAACTGCATGCTGCTCGAAGTATCGACCAGCATCATGCACCGCAAGTTCGTCTCTTCTTCGAACTGTTTGATGTACATACGGTCTTGCTTCGCCCACACCTTCCAGTCGATATGGCGAAGGTCGTCCCCCGGTACGTACTCCCGGTGTTGCAGGAATTCGATCGACTGCCCGAAGTACGGACTGCGATGCATTCCTGACATGAACCCTTCGACGATGTGCCGTGCTCTCAACTCGAGCCGGGCAATTCGCGCGATTGCTTCAGGATGAAAATATTTTTTTGAATCGGCCATCGTTCGTGAGTTCGTCTTCTTTGCTCGGAGTTGTTTCAATCAACTTGTCAACTACGACATCGGGGGTTACGCCGTCACTTTCGGCCGAAAAACTTACAACCAGTCGATGCCGCATCACAGGACGGGCCAGAGCCTGAATGTCTTCCGTCGAAACGTAGGTGCGGCCGTGCAACAAAGCACGAGCTTTACCGCCCAGGATGAGATACTGCACCGCGCGGGGGCCGGCTCCCCAACGAACCTGCTCGGTGATGAAGTCGGGAACCCCCTCTTCACCCACTCGAGTTTGCCGCACCAGCGCCAAGGCATAGCGGATGATGTGATCGGTGACGGGCACCTCCCGCACCATTTGCTGTAAATGGATGATCTCATCCCCGGAGAGTACCGGCACAATGTGATCGGTCTGCACCATGGTGGTGCGGCGAGCCACTTCGAATTCTTCGTCGAACGTGGGGTACTTCACGAAGACCTTGAACATAAAGCGGTCTTGCTGGGCCTCGGGCAGTGGGTAGGTACCTTCCTGCTCGATGGGGTTCTGTGTGGCCAGCACGAAGAACGGATCGGAGAGTTGGTGCCGCACCCGACCAACCGTAGCCTGCCTCTCCTGCATTGCTTCCAACAGGGCGGCCTGCGTTTTCGGGGGAGTACGGTTGATTTCGTCAGCAAGAATCAGGTTTGCGAATAGCGGTCCTTCCAGAAACCGAAATTCTCGCTGACCGGTTGTCTTGTTCTCTTCAATGATTTCCGTGCCCGTGATGTCGGCCGGCATCAGGTCGGGCGTAAACTGAATGCGGGCGAACGACAAGTTCAGCGAGCGAGCCAACGTGCTGATCATCAACGTCTTGGCCAGCCCTGGCACGCCTTCCAACAGGCAGTGACCTCGACTGAAGAGGCAAATCAGCAACTCGTCAATCACTTCGCTCTGCCCGACAATGACATGCGACAGTTGCTCTACCACCTTTTCTCGCGCGGACTGCACTTTCTTTACGGTGTCGGTGTCCAAGCTGTTACTGGGGGTTATCGACATTGGGGGTTCCCTCATAAGGCGATGAGTGTCGTGGCCATGCGGCGGCGAACTCAGCGCTGATAAATCGGCAAGGCTGCGTTTTCTAGTTGGAGAATGGTGAGGTTGATTGCGGTTGTGTAGACGTGACCGATGTAGCCCTGGCTCCAAGAGCCATCGGAGCCGGCCTCGGAGATCAATTTCGCTTCAATCTTCTTGCGATAGTCGTTCCAGGTCTGCCCGCCCTCGCGATACAACACCTGGGAGTAGTAGTAATGGGCGTAGTGCCAGTGGCCGAAGCCTTGATTCGAGATATTCGAAAGATTCTTCTCGCAGTAATCCATCAACTTGGGCACGTATTCGTCGTCGTAATCGCCCGCGTTGTAGAGACAAGCGATCGCCGCTGCGGTGATGGCCGGCCGTGATCCGCCGCCTTTCGAACTGTACTGAACGCCCCCGTCGGGCGCCGTGCAGTTGTGGATGTATTGAATCGCTTGGTCGATCACTTCCTTCGGCACGGTGATGCCCGCATTGCGGCAGCCGCGGAGACCTTGCACTTGGGTAATCGTGGTCGAGCCTTCGTCGAACCCGTGCCCATCGCGAGCACTCACGTACCCCCAACCTCCGGCCTTCGTCTGGGCTTGCCCTGTGAACTCAACCGCCCGCGTCAGCACATCCACGAGGGTCCGACGCCGGTCGATATCTTCTTCCTCGCCTAAAACCTGAGAGAGGAAGAGCATCGAGAAGCCGTGACCATAGGTGTAACGGTCGTCTCCCGTCGGGTCGCCAATCAATCCGTTCGTCCGACTGCGGCTCACCAGGTAGTCGACCGCGCGACGAATGTTTTCGGCATACTTGCCCTGCATGCTGGTTGAACCTTCGGCCAGCAGGGCGGTTCCTGCCAGCGCGGTCATCGCAGTTGGGTACCGTCCGTCGTTGGCGCTCCAATGGCCCAACCGCGATTGGGTGTTAGCCACCCACTCCAGCCCTCGATCAACGATTCGCTCAACATTCGGATCGCGCGAGGCCGACGCGGCATAGCACCAACGGGTGCCAGCGAATGTCGCGGCAGTGGCGGCGGTCAGGAATGTTCTGCGATCGATTTTCATCGTCGGATTCAGGGTTTCAAATGTGGTGAGGCGGTCTGCCACCAATTGAACCAAGTTTGATACTTGGTCACTCTTCCTCTTCGGTCTCGGGTGTTTCCTCTTCCTCTTCTTCGTCATCTTCCGCAGCGCCGTCAATCAGCTTGCGCGTTTCGGAGGCATCCTGGTCGAGTTCCTCGTCGGTGAACTTCATCTGCACTTTTGCCCGCTGCATGTTCAACTCCACTGTTGAATTTGCCGCGTCAGCTTCCAAACTCACCGTACTCACCGTGTTGGCTAACCGTTCTTCGTGAATAACAGCGCCGGTGCGTTTATCCATGCAAATGACCGCGGTTTCATAACGACGGCCGCCGCGATTGTTGATTTGTTGCCGATGAATTTGGCTGGCGAACGCCAACACCGGCATCTCGCTCGATTGGGTCAGCTCGAGGCCATGATTCTTGACTTCCTGCGACCACAGCTTCTTGCCCGACCGGCGATCGAAGCCGTAGACCATGCCGTCGACGACGACGCACCCAAATCCACCGGGCAACGGATTGATGAAGATGTTGGGCCGCTGCTGCCAAGGGCGATTGGCCACAATGATGTAATGATCCCGCGAGCGGATGGCGTAGACCTCGTTGAGGTCTTCTTCCTCTTCGATCGGGCAGTCGATCTTGATTTCACCGTCGGCCAGGTTCAACAGCACGAATCGCCCTTCGGGCTCAACAATCGCCAGCTCTTCGTTATTGATCAGCCGGGCCTTGGCATGCTTGGAGAAGACGTGACTCCAAACGACCTGCTGAGCGTGCGGATCGTACATCTGTACGGTGCTGCCATCGCGGGAGATTTCCCACTGCACCAGGTTGCGACCCAATGTGCAAACGCGCTCTTCGGCCGTGGCCACCGCACACTTACCCAGTTCGGTGCCGTCACTTGCTCGCAGCACAACGGCTTCGGTCTCATCGGGAGCAACCATCAACAACACTTCATCGTCGCCCCAAACCATCGCACCGCTGCCAACGTCGCGTCGCATCCATAGCGTTTCACCGGTTAAAGGGTCGGCTACGATCAGCTTGCGATTCTCTTCGAAGCACACAAGGTTCTCGGAAACGAAACAAAGGGTGCCGGCCGGTTGCCAGCCGTTGCCATTCACGACGATTCGATTGCCCCAGGGGGCTTGGAACTGGCGAAACTGAGGTACGGCATTGCCCCGCCCGCCAAGCACCGATTCGGCCAGACTTCGCCGCCAGAGAATGCGAGCCTCGTTACTCGGCCCGCTCTCCTCGTCAGTATGCAGGGTGTCGATCGCCAATAGTTCGTGTCCGAGTGTGATGAGCAGGAGGTGTCCCGCGACTCGGCCGTGATTTACGTGCTGATTGAAGTTTGGCCCATTATTCGTCCCCGGCTCGACCACGTTCACTTGCCAGGCGGCTTGGCCCAAGCCATCGCGTCCCACGAGCATCCGTCGATTCTGATCGATTTCGATATGCAGATCGTTGAAGAACGGTCCCTGAGGGCCCTGGATCTCGAACCCGAAGTACCGCATCGCGTTGTTGATATTCTTCTCTTCCCGCGACTTCACAACCTGCCCTGCCGGCCAAGAACTGCGGTCTCCAGCCACCTGTTGAAGCACAGCCGGATCGGAGACCATGGCGTACAGCTCGCTTCCGGTCATCCCATCGAGACACATCACCTCGGCCAACTCGCCCTTCAAGTGTGCGTAGTAAATGGCCGCATCTTCTGGCCGGCGTGAGCCCCCCAGCAGGGTCGCGAGTTGCGCGGTCGCGCGATTGCTGATCTCGGAGTTTTCAGATTCTCGCATCTGCCGCAGTTGGAATTCTGCTGCCAAAAGTTCGTCTTGCAGTATCAAACGATTAACCAGTTCGGCCCGAGCTGACTCGGCCAAGTTGTGATTACCAAAGAACGCCAGGAAATGACTCAACTCGGTCGTGCCATCCGATTCCAGCACGCTGGCCAGCCGCGTTTGCAATTCTGCGTCCATCGCTTGCTGTTGCTCTTCGGTGGCTAGCTCCCACAACTCGCCAATTCGTGTACGAACCCAGCGATCGCGACGCACGGAAAGCACTCCGTCAATGGGCTCCAGTTCCAGTTGCCCAAGTGCCGGATCGGTAAATCGCATATAGGTGGCAAAGGCCTCGTCGACTTCACCCGCCGCATGCAACCCCGTGGCCAGCAGCCGCAGAAACTTGCTGCGTTGCTCCGGCTGTTCAATCAGGGTTTCCAACTCATCGACCGAACTACGATAGGTTGCAAAGTCGACACGCAAACCTTCTAGCAAAGCGTCGACCAGTAGCTGTTGTGTGTGGGGGTCGGAAGAAAGGGCCAAAGACCGCCGCAGATCGGCCACGGCTTCTTCGACGGCGCCACTGTGCAGGCGAATCTCACCCCGCAGAGCCAACGCCACCGCGTTCTCGGGCTCATGGGCGAGAGTTCCTTTCACCTCATTCTCGAGAAACTCCAACTGGTAGAAGCTCTCGAGATTCTGAACGCCCTGGGCCAGAATCGTTCCGCCGTGTGAAATCAAGTTGCCCGGCACGCTACCGTCGCGAGAGCGAGATCGCGCGACTAGCTCACCATCGCTCAGATTGAATGTGGCTACCTCGGCCGTCGATAACGGGAGGAAAAGTTGGCTGCCGTTGATAAAGCCTCGACCACTCGGTGAAGCTGAATCGGGGAACTCCACGTCGCCCCAGGCCGCCTCGCCGTCGGCAAGCTGAAGCGCACGCAGTCCTGTGCGGCCGACAACGATTACATTCGAGTGGTGTACTCCGGCCACATAAAGTCCGTCCTGCCGTTCCTTCTTCCAAACCAACGAGCCATCCAGAAGGTTGAGGCAGTAGATTTCGTTCGACTCAGCAGGTGTGAGAACCACTTGTCCTTCAGATATCGTCACGCTGGAATCAGCCCAACCATCGCCCGCGCCGGCATCGCCCCCGGTTTGGAATACGGCACCTCCCCGACGAATGATCATCATTCGGGAGTTCGCCTGATACTTCTCAGTCACTGGGTAACGGTATCCCCACAGCAGCGAACGCGTGGTGAGATTCACCGCGATGACTGCGCCGGCCGAAGTCGGGCAAACCATCACGCCATCTGCATAGGAAGGTGCTGCACCGCAGCTTGCTCGAATAGGGTCCTGGAGAAGATTCCGCTCGAGCATCGCCAGTTGCTGACTCCACTCTAGTTCTCCTGACCGCGCGGAAAGGGCCAGAAGTTGGATTTCACCAGCCGTCTCAGCCAGGCAGTACAACTGCCCCGCTAGTGGAAGAGGTGGACCCAAGAAGTAAGTATCAGCAAGATCCAAAGCCCCTTCTCCACCTGGCCCACCTACTTCCCACACCAGCTTGCCAGTGTGAACGTCGTGAGCCGTGAGCCGGTTATGGAGCTGAGGGCCAGAGCTCCGCTGCTGCATGATCACCGCCCGCCCCGGAATAGAAGCGGTCGTTCCACTGAAGGGGTTCAAGTCTTCAATGCTGTAGACAAAACTCCCATCGCTGCTGAGTGTGCCATACGTCGTATCGTTCCAGATTCGCTGTTCTAGTCCGGCCTCGAGCTGGGGCGTGTTTGCCGCCGCACCGCCACGCACATCGAGTAGGGCTTCAATAGAATCATCGGCCGGAACATTCCACAGTCGCTTGCCGGTCACGAGATCGACCGCGAGCAGATTACTCGTGGTCCGCATCAGCACCACATCGTCTACCACCAACGGATGAACGCTGGGAAGCGAAGTAACGTGCTGGTCGTCGTAACGGTCTTGAAGCTCACCGAGGATTTTCTCGATGGTAGGGTCGTCGGTGGTTGGGACTTTCCATCGCGGATTCAGCAATGGACTTCCGCCGGAACTTACCGCCGTGCGAGAGGCGTTTCCGCGGAACATCAGCCACTCGGCCATATCAACCGCGGCGATTTGAAGCTGTGGCCCGAGTTGCTCGGAAAACCACGCAACGGAATCCTCTTCGTCATCAAACCATTTGATCGATTCACCACCAACAGAGACATCAGCTCCACCAATGCTCTCCCGAAGTGCAACCAGTGTTTCTTGAGCTTTGTCTTGTTGGCCAGCTCGCAACCAGCAAGTAGCCAACTGCAGTGACAGCATGGGCTCCCATTTGGCCGCAGCTCTAACGGTTTCTTTCAGCCGCTGAAGACACAACGCAGCCGCCAAGGCGCGACCATGATCGAGATGGTCGGAGGCCAACAATAGCGTGGCTTCGTAGCCCGCGGGGGTATGGAAGTAGGTTCGTGCGACCTCGGCGATCTTGGCTGGATCGCCGCTCTGGACGGCCGCGTCGAGCATTTGCTTCGCCGGGGTGCCGTATTGCAGGCGGTAGGCCTCTTGGCCTTCCTCGGGCAACTCCCCGATCAACCTCACCGCCTCGGCCTTTAGGCTGCGATGGAAGGGCTGCTGAGGATCGGGCTGAAAGAAATAGTCCTGTTTGGCATCCAGAATGTGGCCCAGGTGCCTTACCGCTTCGCTATAGCGTTCGCTCTCCAGCAGCTCTCGAGCCATGGCCAACGTGCGGACTGTGTTTCGGTCGGTAGGGAAGAGAATGTCCGCGTAAGTGGCGTTCTCGTCCCCTTCCGGCTGAAGATTCGCCATTCGCACCATGGCTTGGGCATTAATGACGCCTTTGCGCCCATTGGGAGCCTGAGCTTGTCCTTTGCCATCTTCTGCCACTGCTGTCGCAGACATCGCGACGAAGAAATATCCGATTGCTGAAGTGCCTGCGACCGCTGTGAGAATCAACATCCTGGTTGATAGGGTCCTGGCCGCCATACGATCTATCTCCTGTCCCGAGAACCACATCCAAGGCAATCTCGCCCCCGCACTTCCGGCAATCGCGCCGCGCAGCCTCCAGCTGTAGAGCACAACATTAAACGCTTCGATGAGTCAAAAAGTTCCCTGCAGGGACTTCAGCCGCTGTGGTGCGAACCCAAGCTCGTGCTCTCCACACAGCCGCGTGTCCTGCAGAAGGAACGGCCGTCAGCGTCATGATCGCGATAACCACTTACAATAACTTATCTTACGAATCCCACGTTCATGCGGCAAGCAAACTGGCTAACTCCGCAGTATCAGCCCGATCTTTCACTACGTTTGCCCCATTCCTCGGGCTTCCACGCCGTTTGAGCCCCGATTAGGCGGGTTTTCGGGGAAATTCTCACAAAAAATTCCTGCTCTGAAATCGCTCTCTATTTTGGCCTCGATCCGCGTGCCTTCAGACAACGCACGAGCGGTCACCCGAAGTTGGCGGCAAACGCCTAAAAACCGCGTGGAAAAGCACTCAGTACGTTGAAAGAGTTTCCATCTAGCGGTCTCTCACCTACAGCAAAATGTGGGCCGGAACTCAAGTGAAACCTGGGTGAAACGATTAACAGGGAGTGGTTGACACCCAAACATAAACCATTGCAGCAAAATGAGATGCAGCCAATGCCCCCTAAAAATCCTGCCCCAAGCGAACATCTGAGTTGCAGCATCGTCCTCTGCTTCTATCCTAATCAGACCTCGCCCAGAAGTGAGGCAATCGTGAAGCGATGACGCCGAGGACAAACCCACACTTCCAGGGGGTAAATCGCCGAGGTATTTCTCGATTTTGAGCGACCAAAACCACCTCGAAAAGCCGACATCCAAGGAGGTCGAAATTGGCCCGAAACTGGCCTCTTATGCGGGAAATCACGGCATATTCGGGTTGCATTTTCAGCTATCTTGAGTCTAATCATCGCCGTTCGCACTGCGGACTACGAATCAATTCACTTCACTGCTAGCTTTTCAGGGAGGATGGGAGAAACGATGGCAAAAACAGCCGCAAAGAAAGCCCCCACAAAGTCGCAAATTTTGACGCACATTGCCGAGACAACCGATTTATCCAAGAAGGACGTCGCCGCCGTGTTCGACGCGTTGGCCGACCTGATTTCGAAGAACGTCGGAAGTCGTGGACCGGGTGCCTTCACGATTCCAGGCTTGGTGAAGATCACCAAGAAGAAGGTTCCTGCCCGTCCCGCGCAAAAGAACGTGCCCAACCCCTTTAAGCCGGGCGAGTTCATGGATCGCGCTGCACGACCGGCCTACAACAAAGTCACCGTGCGAGCGTTGAAAAACCTCAAAGACATGGTGTAATTCGCTCTCGGCGAAACCAACACATACCGGTCATCCCTGGGACTTAGGGGTGACCGGTTTTTTATGCGCGGTCGGAGGTAACTAGGCTCGAGCAGAGCGAGGGAGTAGCACGCAACCTAGAGATTTCGTGCTTGTGGAAGGACCAAATTCAGTGGGAGAACGAGCTGCCCAGCTACTTCAGATTGGCGAGCTTTTCTAGTTTGAGCCGCTTCATTTCGGCCCGTACACGCTTGTCGTTGCGTAAGATCAACTCGTTAATCGCTTTTACAGGCTTCGACTGCCCACGAGCAACCGAGTCCAAGAGGGTAGGCTCCTGCTCGCCTTCGACTGCGATAACGATATCGAGGAGGCTAATGCTGCGAGGCTTTTTCGCCAATGAATAACCACCGCCCGGACCAGAAATGCCATTCAGCAACCCTGCGTCGACCAAACGCCGCAGCACGCGGTACAGAAACCGTGGTGGAAATTGAGCCCCCTTCGCAATTTTTGCCGCGGTCATGGCTTCACCGCTCTTGGCCTTATTCACTTTCAATAGAATGGCCACGGCGTAACTGACTGAACGCGTCAACTTCATCATCCACGCTCCCTGTGCACGATCGGTTGGGGATTCTGTCTCATCGCGAGATGCACACTCGAATTCTGGCTGCACTCCAGCCGACTCTTCATCGCTTGCGGCGATTGAATCTTCCCGAGTTGCGAGAGCGATTGCAAGGTAAATCGGACGCTTTTAGTAAATCACCCCACGAGAACCAATTCGCGGTGAGTTTCCGCCATGGGAGGTACATGATTCGTGTGCAGTCGAAAGCTGCAGCATGCGGCAAATCTGAGGACTATTCGCTCTCGTACGCTTCCCGTTCAAAGGGGTTGTCACGATACGCATTACGCCCCTGGAGCCACACCCAAACAGACGCCAAAAGATACACGGGCACAAACAGCACCCCCCATCGCTCATACTGTCGAACATGCACCAATTCGTGACTATGGGAGAAATCCAACGCTGATTTCGATCGCCCCAAGATGCAGTGTCCTAGGGTCATTGCGAAGGGTTGCACCGGACAGCGTTCGAGCAGCCAGGAAACCAAACCGCCGTAGAATTCGACTACTCCAGAGCGAATCACATACTTCCCACCAAACGCCAACCCCATCACCCCGATTAATAGTCCCAAGGCCGTCCAAGGGGAGGCCCAAATCATCAAGAATGCCGATCGACGCATAGAATTCGCTCAGTTTCTCTTGGCAGTTCGTTCGTCTGTCGCCTCAAGGGTGAGACCGCCCGCTGCCGAATCTCTCACCAAGTGTTAACAGAACAGACTCCAAATTGAGAGAATAGTAAAGCGCGCATTGTGCTGTTCCATGTCACGAGCAGCCCCGGATACCTGAGTTGGTCATCGCGATGTGCAAGGTAAGATCGCATTGACCAACAGCAAACGCTCCAAAGCATTGAACGCCCTACAACTTTATTCGATTTGAAGAACGTTTACCGTGCCACAACCGAAGCAAGTCTGGAAACGACTGAACGAAGAGATTAGCGCCTGCGAACGCTGCCCTCGACTTCGTGAGCATTGCCGCCAAGTCGCAGAAAAGAAACGCAAGTCATTCCTCGATTGGGAGTATTGGGGCGAACCCGTCCCAAACTTCGGCGATGAAAAGGCGAAGCTTCTCATCGTAGGCCTAGCCCCAGCGGCACACGGAGCAAACCGGACGGGCCGCATGTTCACCGGCGATCGCTCGGGCGATTGGTTATATGCCGCAATGCACGAAGCCGGATTTGCAAGTCAAGCAACTAGCGTTTCGAATGACGACGGCCTGCGGCTGATCGACGCTGCGATCACTGCCGCCTGTCACTGTGCGCCGCCGGACAATCGTCCCACTCGCGAAGAAATCCAAGCTTGCCAGCCCTGGCTGGACCAAACTGTGGAGCTTCTGCAGCCCAAAGTATTGCTCGGGCTGGGACAAATTGGCTGGCGCTCAGCGCTTGATGCGGCCCGACGCAGGGGCTGGCATGAGGGGAAGTTACCCAAGTTCGGTCACGGCACGGTGACTCAACTTGGCGACCATGGCTGGCTCATCGCAAGCTATCACCCCAGCCAACAAAACACGTTCACCGGCCGACTCACACGAGAGATGCTGAATGACGTCTTCGAAACTGCGAAACAACTACTCGAAGAATAGCGTCCCTGAATGGAGAAAGATTGAACGCCACTGTGACGGCGGCAGAAGGCTACCGTGTAGAGGTCTCCGACCGCTTCGCCAAATCGTAGCGACGAATTTTGCGGTCCAGGGTTGATCGTTCGATGCCGAGGATCTGCGCCGCCTGACTTTTATTCCAATGGGTCGCGTTCAATGTGGCCAGGATGTGCCTCCGCTCGACTTCAGACAAAGACTCCGGTTTGTACATCCCGTCGATGTTCATTTCCGAAGTGTCGCCCGAGGTGGCCAACTTCGTAAGCATCAAGTCCGGCTCGTCGATGTAATCGCTATCCGAAAGTGCACAAGCCCGTTCAATTACATTTCGCAGCTCACGGACATTACCCGGCCAGCGATACCGCTGCATTTGTTCCATCGCCGAGGGCGTGAACCCGAGAATACGACGACTCCCGCCGAGATTGAATTTCTTCAGGAAGTACAGGGCCAGCTCAGGAATGTCATCGGCCCGTTTTCGTAACGGAGGAACTAGGATTTCAAGCACATGAAGCCGGAAGAACAAGTCGCGGCGAAAATTCCCAGCCGCCACTTCCTTCTCCAAGTCGCGATTCGTGGCGGCAATCACGCGAACATCGACGCTGACGGCCGTACTACCGCCAACCCGCTCGAAGGGATGCCCTTCCAGCACACGAAGGAACTTCGCTTGAATAGCCGGGCTCATCTCCCCGATTTCGTCCAGCATCAAAGTGCCTTTATCGGCAGCTTCGAACTTCCCAATCTTCCGTTCGGTAGCCCCCGTAAACGCCCCTTTTTCATGCCCAAACAGTTCGCTCTCGAGCAACGTCTCAGATAACGCCGCACAATTCAAGCAGATGAACGACTCGTCTTTGCGACGACTCGAAAAGTGCACCGCTCGGGCAACCAACTCTTTACCAACCCCACTCTCACCGCGAACCAGTACGGTGGCATTGCTAGGAGCGACCCTCGCAATTTGCTCATTCAGTCGGCGAGCCACGGCGCTTGTACCGACGATTTCGCTCTGCACCTGCAATTGCTCACGCAGTTGCAGGTTTTCGTCGCGCACCTTGATGAGGTTCTCGCTTAGTTTCTCCCGGCCACGCAGATTGACCAACGCCACACCAACGGTGTCTGCCACCGCCAAGGCAAACTCCAAATCGTCCGGCTCAATCACACGTTCTTCATCGCTGGAATAAAGATGCATGATGCCGACGGGAGTACCTTCGCAGCGAATCGGTGCGCAGATCACGCTCGTGGCGTGAATGTGCCCCTGGCTATCGCGGCGAGCCAAGGTACTGTCGCCCATCACATTGCGGGCCAGCACGGCTTCACCATCTCGCAGTGCCGTGGATACCAAGAAGGGTGAAACGCGGTAATACTGTTTCTTACCATCCGATCGCGAAGCTACGACTTTTAAATCGTTTGATGTGGTCTCTTTCTCATCTTCATTAGGTGAAAGCAGAATAGCTCCGCCATCGACCGGGGTTCCCGAGAACAACCCATCGAGAGCAATCTTGGCAATCGACTCGATATCTACCGCCTGGGCAAGTTCAAAAGCCAACCTTGCCAGCTTTGCCGCTGCTGGGCCTAGCCTCGAGGACGATCCACTGTCAGCATCATCGGCTGCCGGCCGCAAGAGTCGCGTCTGTCCGCGACGGTGCGTTATCGTGGCCGCCTCTTGTGCTCCAAACACATGCGAGTCGTCGCCCGAGGGATCTGGCACTTCGTCAGTCACGGGCTTGGTCGAAACATCGACTTCCTTACTGGCCCCGTCGCGAGTGACATGACTCAAATCGTGTACGAAGTCGATGCGGGAGCGGCCGATGCGGATAACGTCGCCAGCTTTGAGGTGATAATCCTCGTTCACCAGCCGGTTACCGACCGCCGTGCCGTTGCGGCTGTCCAAGTCGCGCAGAGTCCATTGCCCGTCGGCCATGAAGATTTCGGCATGGGCACGACTACATCGTTCGTCTTTGACCACCACCTGGTTGGTCGGCGCACGACCGATAGTGACCGTCTGTCCCGGGATGAGCCGAAAGACGTCCGACCAGTTCGCGTCTTCGCGAATGACCAAATATGCAAACATACGGTTAGCGTGGCTGCGACTAACGACTTCCGACGACCGCGAGCACATCTGGCGGCTGCTAGAGGTCAGAACGACCAAAGGTGTGTGCTTACCTACAATTTTACCTTATCTAGGCCGTTCACAAGGTTGCAAGTCGTTTCCTGGCAAGCAACAGCGTAAACAGGGCAGACTGGCGAGCCGTGGGCCGCAAAATCCCACCTTAGTGGCACGACGGGCTGCCTCAAGCTCTGATCGGCACAAAGTATTACTGTTTCCCGACTTGGCCCACAAAGTTTGCTTGCATGACTTGTAACTCCAGACTAGCCTGGAGTTGGCTTGAAGTCTTCTCGTCATGTGAATCGCCACTCGGAAAAATGTGACCCGTCACAGTGTTGGCTCGCTGGACTTTTAGGCTTCGAAGGGACCCGATCGACAGCTCCTGTGACTTAGAGGCGTCGCAGGGCCGGTTGTGTCCTCGAACCATTCGCTTGAGGCTTTGCTGGAGCTGCAAAGCCGACCACTGGAACAGTGATTCGGAGATCCACTCAATGTCGTCTACACAGCTAGTATTCCGTCGCCTGGTCGAGCGATTGCTCTTCGCGCTGTTGATGGTGGCTGTCCCCGCTCTCCCCGCGGTGATGCTTACGCTGTCCCCCGCCCCAGCAATGGCCCAGGGCGACGATGACGACGACGATGATGATAATGGCGGTGGCGATCCAACACCGATTGTTGTTCCACCGTTTGGGTTCAGCAACAGCGCCGTCGGCGGTGTCTCGATCAATGCCGAAGGTGTCTTAGGAAACGCAACCGTTGACGACATGGGGCGTCTTCGCGAGATGCGGATGCAGTTGCAAAACAACTTACCAAAAGAGGTGACCACTTGGTCCGACATGCGGTTGGTATCGCTCCGTCGACTTGAGGCCGCCATCGGTAAACTACTAGACGATGGCAAGCCGCTAAGTGACGACATTGTGCACATGGCCGGCTTACAACGCATTCGCTATGTATTCGTAGATCAAGAGAATCAGGACATTATCCTCGCTGGCCCTGCCGAAGGCTGGAAAGTGGACGACCGCGGCAATGTGGTCGGTGTTTCTTCCGGTATGCCCACGCTGTGGCTCGACGATCTTCTTGTTGCCCTGCGAACCGCCGAAGTGGCGGCCCAAGGTGGCATCAGTTGCTCCATCGACCCCACGCCTGAAGGCCTGCAACGGCTGCAGCAATACTTCGCAGGTCCTGGTCGACGCGTTGGTCCTAATACCATCGCCGGTGTTGAGCAAAGCCTCGGTCCGCAGAAGATCTCGGTCTCTGGCGTGCCAGCCAATTCGCATTTCGCTTGTGTCATGGTGGCCGCCGACTATCGCATGAAGTGCCTGGCCATGGGTCTTGAAGAAGCCCCGGTTGCAGGATTGCCTAGCTTCTTGACCATGATCCGTAGCAGCCGAGCCTTGTCAAAAAATGCCCTCCCGCGCTGGTGGCTGGCTACCGACTACGACTCGCTTCTGCGGGACGAAGAAGGGCTCGCTTGGGAACTTCAGGGCTCGGGCGTGAAGGCCATGAGTGAAGAAGACATGCTCCAGGGCAATGGGCAAATCGAACGTGGGGTGGGTACGAACCCCTTGGCTCAGCGTTGGGCCGATACGATGACTGAGAAGTACGATGAGTTGGCCGTCGCCGAACCCATCTTCGGTCAGCTTCGTGCAGTGATGGACATGGCCATTGTCTCGGCATTGATTGTGAAGGAGAACTTGCCAGCCAAGGCGGGCTACAGCCTTCCGCTGTTGCTCAATCCCACGGAGTTGCAAGTAGCTCGCATGCACGCCCCCCAGCAAGTGGCCACGCAGGCCAGTGTGATCAAGCGGCGTGGTGACTACATCGTAAGTGCCTCCGGTGGAGTGTCAATCAACTCTTGGCAGGTGGCCGACAACACCGAAGTCGACTCGAAGCTGGCAGATGTTCGCTCCTCTGCACTATCGAACTCCGACCGTTGGTGGTGGGACCACCAAACTCGCTAAGAGTTTCTAGAGTGTTCGCCGAACTCGATCTCAACCTCGGGAAAGGTGCGCTCTCGCAGGTTCACGCATCGAATGTGTACCACCTTTATAGCCGCTTTCTCGAAGTAGCGGTCCACGTATCCACCCGCAATTGAGTCTTGCACAGTAGCTCCACGGGGTGGCAGTGCTGGCTTTAGAAGAACCAACTCACTCGCGTTGGTCCTCGTAGCGATCCAGGCAGCTATCGAGTCGCTGGTGACATCCCAGGATTCTGGAAGAGAGTGCACTCCGGAACTCACCTGCTTCAGAACTGCCAAAGGATCGACGATCTTCACACCACTATCGCGCGAGTCTGATGGCAGCTCTTGAAACGACTCCAATCGAGTCGTCTCAGGTAACAACGCTTCAATCACCTTCGCATTGAACTGCATCGCCCGAATGGCTAACCAGTGGGCAGCCGACTCACCCAGGGCGTGCGTGCGATCAAGACGGCGAATCATTTCCGCGCTGGCCCCGCCACCAACTACCAGCAGTGAGAGCATCGGAGGCTGCTGCTGGATCCAGCGAGAAAGTGATTCCGCCACCTCTGGCATGTCGAGCAGACTTCCGCCGAGTTTGATTACCCGCACCGGTCGACCCCTTCCCTAATGGCGATTAAGGCCAACGCGTGTGCGGCAGCCGCACGAGACGCTACTGGGCCCAACCGCTCCGTAAGCGACAGAATCTCTGCTTCCGGTGCCACCGCTTGAGTTACCTCTCGGGCCAGGAACTCCCCCTGCCCCGATACAACCGTCACCTGAGGCCGTTTCGCCATCCGCTCGATCACCTGGCTAGCGGCATCAATCAGAGTGTTTCGTTGAGCGTTGGCCAATGCCTTGGCGATCTGCAGAACGTCTTCCGGTCCACACTCTGCCGCATCGGCACAAATCGAACGCGCTAATCGCCCGGCCGCCGCAGCGCGGGTTGCGGGTCGTCCGTCAGCCGTATGAGTAGCGTCCGGCTCTTCGGGAAGCCGCTGCAGCGTGAGGTAAATATCCCACGCGGTGGCGAAAAGCTCGCCAGCAACGCGGCAGTTATGTCCACGCCAGGGAACCGTGGGAGCAATCGCGCAGACCGGTGTTCGTTCGACGCCTGTGTAAACCAGTTCCCCAGTCGACAATCGTTCGGTATCGGTATACCCACTAGGAGCCGGCTCTCCACTGGTGAATGGAATGATGTCGGCAGTGGTAGAACCAATGTCGATCAACAGCCCGGTCGAAGCTTCAACCGCCAAGGCAGCATACTTCGCCAAGGCGTGCCAATTCGCGGCCGCCACTTTCGAAGGGTTGTCTATCGCGAAACCTGAATGCACAAAGGTGCCATCCAGTGTGTACCAATTTAGGGAACGCCCTGGTGCGGATTGAGACATCGCTTCAACAATGGAGCGAACGCCCTCAGACTTAGTCGCGAAACAGTCGGCCAACTCCCCAGTCATTGTAGCGACGATGTTGCGCTCGGCAGGCAACTCTTCCAGCAAGCCACGTAATGCGGCAGCCAAATCCTGTGGATGCTTCCAAAGCGGAAAGGGAAGCGACCCGGCACGGTCTCCACCATCCGACCACTTGATATTGGCGCCTCCAATATCGACGCCAATGAACTGTTTCACGACATACTCGCTCGATGAATACTCTCTATCAACCCAGCCTCTTCAGATGCCCAAACGCGGCCATCGGCTGAGAATTCTACCGCTCGAGGCTCACCACACAACTCGACACACTTTCCGACTAAAACGTCTAGCATCAACTTGGCCAAGTTGCCTGAGACCGCCTGCCTGAGCCCGACATAAGACGTCGTAAGCCGAGGATTGATCTCCAAGACAAAGTCTTGCTTGCCGGCAGGGTCTTCTCCCAGGATCAGATCGACACCCAAATACCCTCGCGGCGCGTGCAAACTTTCCACTGCCCCTCGGGCGAGTCGCATCGCTCGGGTTGCCAAGGAGGCTGGTAGCGGGACCAATCCTCCGCGGTAATGAAACGCGTTTTGCTCGATTCTCACATTCTGCCGGCATGGAGACAAAATCACATTCCCAGCCGGTCCGCAGAGAAAAGCGACACTAGCAGGCACGCCAGGGCAATACGCTTCAAGCCGACAGTCGACCCCGGGGCGAGAGCTACTTACTTGAGCTGCATCGGCCACTAGAAACGTCTCCAGACCCCCTGCCCCATCAAGCGGCTTCAAGACCGCCGGATAATCCAACGCCTGCGGGAGAGAGTCGCCCACATGCAGAACCCGGCCTTCAGGCACAGAGACGCCGTGCTGCGACAAATGCTGTACTAACGCATGCTTATCGGAAACTAAGGCAATCAATTCAGGAGCGGGCCCCAACAACTGCCCCCCCACTTCCAGCACCCGTTTTGCAGCCAAGAATAGTTCCCCACCCGTCTCGGGGACAATCACCAATGTCGCATCAGCGGTGGCTGCCAGCCGGTCAAACGTCCGCTGCTGATCGTCCCGGTTGGCAACCGAGCTCACTGTGACCGGCAATTCCGAGGGAGGTGACTCTAGCCGGGCATCCCACAGTCCATGGACTTCCACATCCTTCACTTGCGCAAGGTCGGTAGCGATGGCCTTGAACATTGCCAAGCCTTCGTCCCGAAGCGAAGAGAGCGTCGATTCGCATTCGCCCGAGCGTAGCAGACCACCGCCTGTGATGAATTCGTAGACGAAGATCTGCATAGATGGCTAAGACCTGGTTGCAGCCGGCTTTAGAAGATGCCGAGCTGATCCTTGGCGTCTTCGGTCATCCGGTCGGGCGACCAGGGAGGGCTGAGCACGACTTTGATGTCGACTTCACCCACACCTTCGAGCTTGCCGATCTCATCCTTGGAATTTTGCACCAACTGCGGGCCGGCGGGACAGGCGGGACTGGTCATCGTCATCTCGACGTTGACGTTCGAAACATCGCCCTCTTCTTTGATGTCCACCCCGTAGATCAGCCCCAGGTCGACAATGTTGACGAACAGTTCCGGGTCAATCACGTTCTTGAGCGCCTCGAATACGGCGTCTTCTTGAATAGGCATGGTCGGCCTCGCAGTGCTCGCTGTGAATGAGGTATTACAAGTGTCTTAGTTCAGTCTTGCAGGCGGACGAAAATCTCGCCACCCTCGACCTTCACGTCGTGACTACGCGTCGGCGATGTAGCGGGCATCGTCAGAGCGCTTCCATCGCGAATGTCGAATCGGGCTCCGTGGCGAGGGCAAATGATCTCGCAGCCCTCTAAGTCGCCTTCGGCCAGCGGGCCGCCGTCGTGGGTGCACACATCGTCCAGGGCATAAAACTTCCCGTCGACGTGAAACAGCGCCACGAGTTCGTCATCGACCTCAACGACCATCTTACCAGGGTCAGCAAGATCCGTCTCTTTCGCCACACTAACAAATTCGCTCATAGATGGGTCGATTCAAATCGTCCGATAGGGAATAAAACCGCCGAAATACCATAGCGGCAGGAAGTCATCGCTTCGCAGGTTCGCGGCAAATTATAGGAAGTCGCGAACGCGACGGCCAATCGCCTCGCCCAGGGCATCGCGAACGCTTTCGATGGTGATGCGATCGAAAACCTGCTGAAAGAATCCAGCAACCACGGTTCGCACGGCTTCTTTGCGAGTTAAACCACGGCTCTGGCAGTAGAACAGTTGCTCTTCATCCACGCGGCCTGCCGTGGCTCCGTGGGTGCAAATCACGTCGTCAGCTTCGATCTCGAGGCCCGGGATCGAATCGGCGCGGGCGTCGGCCGAGAGCAACAGGTTATCGTTTCGCTGATAACCACAGGTCTTTTGTGCGTCGACGTCGACCTTGATCATCCCCCGCCAGACAATCCGCGAATGGTCCTGCAAGGCTCCTTTGTAGAGCAAATCGCTCGTGCAGTTTTCGGCTTCGTGATGCTGCAGGGTGTGGTAGTTCATGTGCTGCCGGCCTTCGGTGAACATAACGCCATTTACCTGGGCGTTCGCCCCCGGGCCCACCAGGGCCACGTGCTGGTTAACCTTGGCCAACTGCGAGCCCAACGCGGCGATGGTCCATTGCAGTTGGGCGTTGCGCTGCAAAAGGGCCTTCTGATGGGCAAAGTGCCACACCCGCTGTCCCCAGTTCTGCAGCGTGACGTATCGCAGTCGAGCACTGGAGGCGAGCAGTAGCTCGATCCCGCCGCAGTGCAGCCCAGGATCGGCCGCACCTGAGGTTTCTCCCAAAACGGTGGCCTCGGCGCCTTCGCCGAGAATCACCAGTGTGTGGCCAAGATCGACGCCGCCATCGGATAGCGTGGAGTGAATGTGCACCGGTCGGTCGATGACGACTCCTGGCGGAACATACAGCACTGTACCACCCGACCAAAACGCTCCATGCAACGCGGCGAACTTGTCGTAGCCGTCATCGATCGCCTGCATGAAGTGCGGGCGAAGCTGATCGCTGTGCTCGGCCAGCATCTCGCTCAGATTGCCAAACAGAACTCCCTGCTGGGCCAATTCCGGGTCGAGCGATACTTCCTGCATGCGGCTATTATGCGCCGTGGTGTGCCCTCCCAGATCGACACCATGGCTGAGTAGGGCCTCAATGCCTGCGGATTGATCACCCGAGGGTTCACTTTCCAGGGGTGGCCCGAACTTCTCGAGATGGAAACGCCGCAGGTCGGTACGCCGCCACTCTTCTTCATTCTTGCTGGGAAGATCGAGGGCGGAGAAATGTTTCCACGCCTCGCGACGCATATCGGTTAACCACGATGGTTCATCGCGTGTTGCAAGAAAGGCGTCGAAGGTTTCTTCGGTGAACCCGCCTGCTGAGACTACCTGGCTCATACTACTTTCCGTTTAAACGACCTAAGAAGTCGAACCGTAGTCCGACCACGTTGTATATATATCGTGCGCTAAACCCGGGGTGGGAATCCTCACTGAGAACTCTCATCGTCAGGACAATACGCAGGGACAGAAATTAACCGCTTACCCAACCGAACCTTCCATCTGCAGCTCGATCAAGCGGTTCATTTCCACGGCATATTCCATGGGCAACTCTTTCACCAGCGGTTCGATGAACCCACTGACGATCATCGCCGAGGCTTCGGCCTCCGAAAGTCCGCGGCTGGTGAGGTAGAACAGTTGCTCTTCGCCGATTCGCGACACGCTGGCTTCGTGGCCGATGGTCACGTCCTGCTCGTCGACCTCGATATAAGGGTAAGTATCGCTGCGGCTGTGATCGTCGAGGATCAAGGCATCGCAGACCACACTCGACTTCGCTTTGCTGGCGCCCTTCTCGACACGGACCAGTCCGCGGTAGCTCGAGCGACCGCCGTTCTTGGAGATCGACTTGGAGACGATCCGGCTGGAAGTATTCGGGGCCGCATGCACGACCTTCGCCCCGGCATCTTGATGCTGACCAGCCGAAGCAAAAGCGATCGAAAGAATCTCACCGCGGGCACCTGGCTCGAGCATATACACGGCCGGGTACTTCATGGTGAGCTGACTGCCAAGGTTGCCGTCGACCCATTCCATCGTGGCATTTTCGTAGGCCACCGCCCGCTTGGTCACCAGGTTGTATATGTTGTTGGCCCAGTTCTGAATCGTCGTGTAGCGGCAACGGGAGTGCTTCTTGCACACGATTTCGACCACGGCCGAGTGTAGACTCTCGGTGCTGTACATGGGGGCGGTGCAGCCCTCCACGTAATGGATCTGGGCCCCCTCGTCCACGATGATCAGCGTCCGCTCGAACTGGCCCATGTTTTCGGCGTTGATGCGGAAGTAGGCCTGCAACGGGAAGTCAATCGACACCCCCTTGGGCACGTAGATGAACGATCCACCCGACCACACGGCCGAGTTGAGTGCGGCAAACTTGTTGTCCGTCGGCGGGATGATCGTGCTGAAGTACTCACGCACCAGATCGGGATACTCCTTCACCGCCGTGTCGGTATCGGTGAAGATCACGCCCTGAGCCGTCAGATCTTCACGAAGCGAACCGTAGACAACTTCGCTTTCGTACTGGGCCTTCACCCCGGCGAGGAATTTCTTCTCGGCTTCGGGGATGCCCAGTCGATCGAACGTCTTCTTGATGTCGTCGGGCACTTCGTCCCAACTGCGACCCTGACGATCGGACGGCTTGATGTAGTAGTAGATATCTTGAAAGTCGAGCCCGACTTTGCCGCCCCAGGTAGGCGTGGGCTTCGAATTGAAAATCTCCAGGCTTTTCTGCCGGAAATCCCGCATCCACTCGGGCTCACCCTTCATGTCCGAGATTTGATGGACAATCTCAGCGTCGATGCCCTTGCGGCTCTTGAACTTGTAGTTCTCATCGTTGCGAAAGTCGTACTTATTGACTTCGCCCGCGGCCACATCGAACGGTTGCTTGACATCGGTCGACATATCGTTTGCTCGTTCTCTACGAGAATCGTTTGGTTAGTCAGGTCAATCCCGTGTGGGATGACGGCAGGATTAGCTAAGCAATCCTTCAGGTTCCTCATCGCGGGCCATTTCCGATTCAGCTTTGGCAGCCTCGGGATGTGCCTCGCGGATACGATCGTAGCCTTTCTCGTGTAACTCGGCGGCCAATTCGGCTCCGCCCGACTCGACGATTCGCCCACCCAGCATGACGTGCGTTACGTCCGGCCGGTTGTGTTCCAACAGCTTGTCGTGGTGGGTGATAATAAGAATGCCCATGTCCTTGCCGCCGATTTCGGCAATGCTCTGGCTGGCCAGCCGCACAGCGTCGACATCCAAACCGCTATCGGTTTCGTCGAGAATGGCGAACTTGGGCCGCAACATGGCCATCTGCAGGATCTCGGCCCGTTTCATCTCACCGCCGGAGAACCCATCATTCACATAACGGCGGGCAAACTCGGCATCGATCCGGAGTTGCTCCATCTGCTGACGCAGTTCTTTGCGGAACTCCCGCATCGGGATCAGGTCTTCGCCTTCTTTGCGATCGGGACGTCGAACGTTGGTGGTGGCGTGTCGCAGGAAGTCGGCCATCTTCACGCCGGGAATCGACATCGGGCGTTGGAACGCCATGAAGATGCCAGCCCGAGCCCGCTCGTTGGGCTCCATTTCCAGCACGTCTTTTCCATCAAGCTCGATCAAGCCCTGGGTTACTTCGTAGCCGGGGTGGCCCATAATGGCGAAACCGAGGGTGCTCTTTCCCGAGCCGTTGGGGCCCATCAACGCATGGGTTTCGCCTCGCTTGATGACGAGGTCCACCCCGCGGAGGATCTCCTTGCCTTCGACGCTGACATGCAGGTCGCTGATCTTCAATGTTTCGGTCATGTCTCGACTTATCGTTTCGAAAGGATCAATTCAGCCAATCGCCGGCGATGCCCTGCTCCCAGACAACTATTTGAGCTGAGTGCAAGCAGGTCACTATAGGCGACAATCAATTGGTTTCAAACTGGCAACAGCCTCCGCCATCGAGTCGGCATTGCGACAATTCAACGTTGTTCTCGAGCAACAAGCTCATCACCATTTGTTCGAGTTCGCAGATCGCCCGATCGTGCTCTGCGAGTTCTGGGTAGGGGCAGTCGTGGGCTTGAAGAACGGGCAGGCCTTTAACGTTCTGTTCAACCGAGAACGGGATATCTCGCAGTTCGAACAGCTTCGCGATCGACGCCATTCGTTCTTGCGGGGACTCGCCCTCGACCTGATCGCCGTACTTCTCAGCCAAGCCTGCGGCGATCCGCTTCAGCAGCCCCTTGCGAATCGCGGGATCCTCAATGGCTCGAACCTCTTGCCAGAGGACCTTGGCCAAGTCGGCGAAGTTGTTGCCTGCGAGCCGGCGAGCCCGTTCCGAGAGGCCATACCGATGTGTGGGTCGCCCGCGGCCGGCACGTTCCGATTGACGAGTCACCAAGTCTTGGCCCATCAACCGATTCAGTCGCTGGCGTACCGCGGTGGCGGTAACCCCCGTGGCCTCAGCGAGTTGCGAGACGGTCATCGACCCCTTGCGACGCAAGAGGTCAATTAGTTGGCCGTCTGATGTTTCTGTTACGGTGCTCATACAACGCCTGGAACTGCGGTTTTCCGCTTCTCAAAACTGAGAGCGGGCGTGTCTGCGGGATTATATCCCTTATCGCATTTTTAGCAATGTATTATGTCAAAAAGATTGCGAGTATCTCAGATGTGAACGTAACGTGTTGACAGATAGAGTCTTTTTGCGATAGAAGATGCTCGCCGACGACCGGGCAAGGCGGATCTGCTAGCGGTAACTTTCTGAAGAAGTGCTACCGCATGTTACAGATCGCCCGCAACTTGCGCAGTAGCTGCCAGGTACATCCCTACGTTCAGCATCGAAAACAGGAAGGTTGGCATGAGGCACATGGCAACAGCGGGTCGATTGGCCACCTTGTGCGTAACGTTTGCGGTACTAATGGCCACAGGAGCCCCACCTGCATTAGGGGATGAGCCGGCTGATGTCGCTGACGTGCAACTGGCCGAAGCGGCAAGTGAAGCCGCCGATTGGCAAGATCATGTCGATGCATGGTTTGGAGAAAACCTTGTCACACCAATTGCCAAGGTGCTCTTCTACGACTTCGGCAGTTCAAAAATTGAATGGATTGGCGTCAGTCTTCCATTCATTGTGATGTGGCTGTTGGCCGGGGCGATCTTCTTCACGCTGTCGATGGGCTTCATCAACGTTCGCGGCTTCGTGCATGCCATTCGCCTGACGAAGGGCGACTACGACGACCCGGCAGATGAAGGCGAAGTATCGCACTTTCAAGCACTCGCATCAGCCCTCTCTGCCACAGTCGGTTTAGGAAACATCGCCGGAGTTGCGATCGCCGTCGGACAAGGCGGCCCCGGTGCGATCTTCTGGATGATCATGGCCGGCCTGCTTGGCATGAGCACCAAGTTCACGGAGTGTACCCTCGGGCAGATGTACCGCAAGGTTGCGCCCGATGGAACAGTTTCCGGTGGCCCGATGCACTTTCTTCGCGATGGTCTTTCGGAGCTTCGCATTGGCGGTATGAGTCTGCGGTACCTGGGAATTGTTTTGGCCCTGGCCTTTGCCGTGCTTTGTATTGGTGCATCGTTCGGTGGTGGATGTGCTTTTCAGGTGAATCAATCACGGGTGGCTCTGGAATACATCTTGCAACGCGATTCCGATGAAGAGTTGCTAAACGCAAAGAAAGAGCTTGCCGAGGCCGAAGCAGCAAATGCTTCAAGCGACGAACTGGCCGCGTTGACCGCCAGGCTTGACGAACTCATTCAGAGCAACGATCGGTTCGAATACTTCTTTCGTCCTATTTACGGCGCAACAATGGCTTTCTTTGTTGGGCTAGTCATCATCGGCGGATTCCGTCGCATCGCCGCCACGGCGAGCCGCATTGTTCCGACCATGTGTGGTTTGTACGTGGCCATGGCTCTTTACGTGTTAGTGATGAACGCCAGTCAGATTGACGATGCCTTTGTGGCAATTTGGAATGGCGCTTTCACTCCAGAAGGAATCACAGGAGGTGCGATCGGCGTACTGGTGATTGGAATCAAGCGGGCTGCATTTTCGAATGAGGCTGGAGTGGGTTCGGCCTCAATTGCACACGCTGCCGCACGCACCGATGAGCCGATCAGCGAGGGCTTTGTCGCGTTGCTCGAGCCATTCATCGATACCGTGCTCATCTGCACGATGACCGGGCTCGTGATTGTCATTACTGGACAGGCAGTCGATCCAGCGAACTCCGCCTTGGTTGCCAACGACCAGGGTGCCCAACTCACGGCCGTTGCACTTGAGAGCGTTCAAAGTTGGTTCCCATTGGTGCTGGGACTGGCCGTTCTGCTCTTCGCCTTCTCAACGATGATCTCGTGGTCTTACTACGGCGAACGTTGCTGGACAACTCTCTTTGGCGAGCGTTCATCTCTGGCCTACAAAATCATCTTCTTAATGTGTGTGTTTTTTGGCGCAGTTATCACGGCCACCACTGTGCTCGAGTTCAGCGACTTGATGATTCTGGCAATGGCCTTGCCGAACATCACTGGACTGCTGCTGCTCAACGGAAAAGTTCGCCGTACTCTGCGAGACTACTGGCGACGCTACAAGCTTGGGGAATTCGAGCCGCAATAGCTCACATTAGTGAGCCAAGCCGCTCTGTTGGCGGCTCGGTGCCATGAAGCTAAATTACGGGCATAGATGTGAATCGCACAGCTAACGGGGATAAGCCATGAGTTGGATGCCGAAGAAAACGGTTGTGGTTCCGTTCGATTTTTCCGACCGGTCGCTCCCCACCGTTGATACCGCCCTGGAATTGGCCGAAGAGGCTTCAGGAGTGCACGTCATTCATGTGCTGCCCACACTGGAACCCACTGAACCGGGCGTGATCTGGAGTTCGATCGACAATTCTGGCCGCATTCACCACGCCGAAGAAGCGATCAAGAAGCAACTCACCGATGCCAAGTATCAGGGCGTGAACGTCGACGTCGAAATCGGCGACCCTGGACACGAAGTTGCAGACTACGCCAAGAAGGTCTCTGCCGAGTTGATTGTGTTGCCTTCGCACGGCCGCACCGGGATTAAGCGTCTGCTCATCGGTTCGGTGGCAGAACGCATTGTGCGTTTGGCCCACTGCCCTGTGCTCGTACTTCGCGACTAAGATGCCTGCTCGACAGATGCCTGCTCGACAGATGGCTCGCGTGGCTCCCGAGGGAAATATTCTTCCACCACGCGGCGAAATTCCTCAACGGTCTTCACCTTTGCCACATGCGTACGGAATTGGCGGGCCCCATACCGCCCCTGGGCATAGCAGCAAGCGTATTTCCGCATCAAGAGCGTGCCCTTCGCCACACCGAACCGCCGGATCACTAAATCGTAGTGGTGTTCAAGCAGCCGACGCTCTTCGTCAGGATTTAGGTCGGCGGGCATCTCCTCGCCACGCAGCAAGGCGGCCACCTGCTGGAACAGCCATGGCTTGCTGAGAGCCGCCCGGGCGATCATTACACCGTCGACCGGATAGCGGGTAAGCCGATCGACAACCTTTTGGGGTGAATCTAAATCGCCATTCCCAATCAATGGGATGCGTTGCAGGTGCTCCTTGATTTCTGCGATTCGATCCCAGTCGGCCTGGCCTTTGAAGAAGTCCTGCGCCGTTCGCCCGTGTACGGTCAGAGCCGCACCGCCGGCTTGCTCAACGGCCCGGGCGACTTCAACCGACGTGATGTTGTCCCGGGTGCAACCAAGTCGAATCTTGGCCGTCACCGGCACGGGAGCACAGGCCTGAACCACGCGTTCCACAATGGCGCCGACGCGTTGTGGATCTCTCAGCAAGTACGATCCACTGTGGGCCTTTACCGTCACTTGCCGCACGGGGCAGCCGAAGTTGATATCTACGACCGAGACCTTCAAATCGTTGGCCAGACGGGCTCCCACGGCGGCCAGCGTTTCGGGATCGTTGTCCCACATCTGAACGGCCAGCGGACGCGGCTCCTCGGCCACGCCCCACAGCCGGTCTGGCAGTTCTTGATCGCGGCGGTCGATCTCGAAGAACCCCTTGGCACTGACCATTTCAGTAGCCAACAGCCCGGCCCCGCCGAACTCGCGTACGATCTGCCGGAATGCGTAGTTGGTGAACCCCGCCATCGGGGCTTGCAGCACCGGAGGGTCAACCACCACCGAGCCAATTCGCAGCGGCGCTATACCGGCCGCGGGTGAGACAATTTGTTCTGACGTTGAAATGCTCATGGCACCAGTCATTGAAAACGAACAAGCAGGCAGCGCCAAGATGGATGACGCATGAGAACGCTAGCGGGAATGATCCGGAGGGTGGCCAGTTGCCACGTCTCCACCGGCACAACTAGAATCGGCCCTACGATGAACGACAACTCCTTGATTTTGACCGAAGTCACCCAGCAGGTGGCAACGCTAACGCTTAATCGACCGAAAGCCAGCAATGCCTTAAGTGCGGCGATGATGGCCGATTTGGCCCGGGCCTTGGCTGACCTGGACGATCGCGATGACGTTCGGGCGATCGTCATGCGGGGAGCCGGCTCGGGCTTCTGTGCAGGAGCCGACTTGAATGAGTTGGCCCAGCAAGACACGGCAGGAGTGTCCGACGTCGAAGGTCCGCTTTCGGAAGTGCTCGCTCGACTTGAGCATATGAGTAAGCCGACGGTGGCCTCGCTGCATGGTTACGCCCTCGGAGGCGGGTTTCTGCTATCGATCTACTGCGACTTTCGCATTGCAGCCGCCGGCACCCAAATCGGCTTTCCCAGTAGCGCCGCCCATTGGTTACCGGCGGCAGGTCTTGCTCGTCTGGCCGATTGGGTCGGGCCGCTGAGGGCTCAACAGTTGGTGCTGGCACCCGGGGGTATTCCAGTCGAAAAGGCACAAAGCCTTGGGCTGGTCGATGAAGTCGTGTCGAGCGACGAACTTACCGCAGTGACAGAAGCACTCACGGCCCGGCTGCGTGAAGCAAGCCCCGTGATGGTCGCCGAAGCCCGCCGCATCTTTAGGGACCTGCTGGGGCACCGCGGCGCCCCGTGGGATCGCGCGGCAGCCACCGGATTCGCCCGCTGTCTTGTTACCTCTGAAGCCCAATCGGCCCTGCGAGCATTCACCGAAGCCCGTCGCAACGGAAAATGACACCCTTCTTTCGACAATCAAACTCTCTCCGAACTCCACATCGAGCACCCGTGATGAAAGAAACCTTGGTCGAAGGCCTCTCGGCAGAAGTGAAGCAACGCGTGGTCTCACAGCACCTGGTGAGCTATCAAAATCCTGCGTTGGTCCCTGTGTTGGCCAGCCCCTGGATGCTCAGCTTCATGGAACAAGCCGCCTACAAGGCCATTCAGCCGCACTTAGACGAAGGGGAACAATCCGTCGGCGTGGGTTTTAACTTCGAGCACCTGGCCGCTACGCCCGCCGGCGAAACCGTCACGGCCTCCGCTCGCATCACGGGTATCGACCGTCGCCGGGTCACCCTCGACATCGAAGCCCATGACGGGAACCAG